ATATTTGGATTGATTGGGAATTTATTATTAGTGATTAGATCCTGAAAGTATTTGCAATTATTGAGTTGATTTGCTAGAAAAGAAAAAATATGTTTGTGAAAAGTGGTATGGAATACTTAGGAATGCACAAATATAATCAAAAAACTTTATAACAATAAATTAAACCGGCGAAAATAATTTTATACATACAATCTAACCTATTTTCCCACCGTTAGGGTAGAGTATTTGTTTCCAAATTTATATGGGACTAATTTCAGAGGTTACCCTTTCCAATACAAAAAGAATTATCAAAAGCGGACTACTCTGTAAAAAGTTATGCGTGATCATACATAAAAAAGTTCCTCCTCAGCTTTTTTTCGCCTGTGAAACCGACCATCACGCTTTATGACGCTAGCTAAATTTTTTTACTGTCAGTTCTCTTATTTATTTACATTAGTAGACAACAGAAGTTCATCATCAGCGTATTAATGACCCCACTGCTAGGGCATAGACCTTACCTATAAATGGAATATGGAGATTGGGCCATCACGGGCCCAGCGCTGATGTCTGCAGATGCAGCCGGGACCAACAATATACAGCTTCTTATGTGTTTTACGTTTTGTTGATTTATTTCATACATGGATTTTTATTAATGTTGGCTGAATAAGCAGCAGAGGAAAATATTACAATGGGGCAGTTTTTATTTTAACCAATACACATACACAAGTATTTACTGTGTACCAATCCCAATGTTGTGAATCACGTAGGTATTGTTAAGTTCACCTAAAAATCTGAATTAAATAATCAACAAAAACTATTCCAGAATTTTATGTAACTCCTACTATATACACTTTTTTGTTCCTTGTAGTACTTGTAGTGAAGGTTGTTTATAGCAACGATAAAAATACTTCCATTTCAGAATTCAAACTTACCTTTGTATTGTAATCGTTTATTCCTAAACTAGCAGTCGCTGAGGTGACATTGAAATACTGGGGTAGCGCGGATCGATCACATCAATATTGCAAATTAAACACTAGTACAAGAGTGGCCCAATTTTTCCCCCTCACCTCTCTACGGGTGAACTCATCGATCGGATTCTATATTTTAGGGGATAAATAATGCAGGCCGAAATCTAATTCTATTCTAATTGAAGTAGTTTTAGGCATATGATATAAGGCATTTAATTAAAAAGTCATATCTAATTGATGTCATTTATGGCGTGGGTGAAAGGCTCTAGAATATTTTTACCATACAGATGCTTTAAATATCTGCCGCATATTTATGCTCTCCCATCAAAGAACCAATCAGACTTATTATTTAAAACGATACAAAGGTGTGATGCTAAAATAATTTATTCGTCTAGATATCGAATAGGTATGCAATGTCAACGAAGAATGGTCCTTCATCTTTAGCAGCAAGCCGTACTGGCTTTTTTAAAACTTTATTAATAAAAACAGAATGAATATATTCTGTTGGTAGGTAGATGCCTTTTTGACATGATTAGAATTACAGTGCTAACGATGCTGGCGCCTTAGTTATTCGTTCTGAGGACGGCGGATTATTACCTTTGATGGAAGTTATTCCGATGGCTATAATTGTGTCATAACTATTATTCTATTTGTGGTTGATATGTTAATTGTGGATATAAAAAGACGGCAGTTTCCTACGAACTGTCTACCTTGAACCCTGCGATCGGCCGTACATACAAATCCTATTATGCGATCAAGATGTTTCGGGAATAAACGGAGCACGATAAAATGCTTAATCCTGTTATGCCGCTACTGGATTACGTAATTGACGTTGGGTGAATAATATTTAATGACGTAAACATAGGACCATGAGTGGTGGTATGGATTCTATTAGCTGAATACACAGTTGCTGGTTCTACTCTTCTAAAGGTAAACGTTTTTATGACACGGGCGAAAGAATTGAAAATTGTTTTACTTAATTTTTCCAGTACAAATTTTGTTACATCAAACTTTTTTATCTTTAAGTAATTATCACCTAAAAGCATATATCGGATTTTGCTTATATTTTTATCCTATTAAGGATAATACATACATATTAGGTTAAGATGAGGAACTAATCCACACTACCTTATGTGAAGAAGATAATTGAATCGGTGGTTTAGCTTCTTTATTGTCTTGCCTAATCTTGGGATCATACTCTCTGTTGGAACACAGTACTACAGAACAAGTGTAGCAGCTTTTTTATATGTTCAAAGGGTGGCAAACAAGCTTATGGCCCGCCTGATGGTGAGCAGCCACAATAGCTTCCGTTACAAAAATATTACTCGCAGCATTGATTGCCTACCTTGATCCAATCCCCTGCCCTGTGAAATTTTGCGAAGTTTTTTGTAAGGTGGATGTTGCTCCCCCAGACGGATGCTCTAATTCCAGCTGCCAAAGACGATGTTTCCAACCCCATTTCCATTTCGCTTCCAAATCAACATGGAAAGATTCTTTCATAACCTAAAGGGAACACAGCTCTGCTCTCAGCACCTTTATTCCGTAAAGGCAAGATATACGCTTCTTGAATTCGTAAGATTTTTTTCTTGACTCACGAATTCTTTTGGCGTTTTAGAAAAGATTTTAGACACTTGCTTTTCATTTAGGTAGCTTGGTGCTGCTTGTTAATGATTAAATGTAGTGCTCTTTCTTTGTGATGAAATTGATGCGATTTTAAATGACATTGGATTTATTGACTCCTCTGAGTACGGACATTAGGCATTTAATTTTTTCTGGGGGGGGGGGGGGATGCTTGAGTTATTTTAAACTCCTGCTTCGTTTATTCTACCGGATGTAACATTTTCTTGACTGTTGACAGTGTTTTATATTGATCCCACTATGAATTTTCCAGTGATTTTGGTCTTATCTACCCAGATAGATAGATACATATACATACATACATATAGAGCAAGCATTTGTCTCCACTATATATTTAATCCTATATATTAGTGGGTATTAGAAAATCACAATCATCGGGACCTTTACACGTCACTCTTGCGTTGTGTGGGTGTTCCATCTGAAAATATCTAATCTTACGAAAATACGTAGGTACTCAAGTTGAAAACACCACGTTTTGCTGTACTGAATTATTTTTATTAGCGCTATTGAGGGTCGTACTCTTGAACATTGCAGAGTGGAGAACGTATATAGTATGTACCTACATTCCCTGCAAGGTTTCGAGTACTCTGTATATATTATTTATTTTTTGTTTTCGTACTCATTCTATTGCTCACCTGAAATGGTTTTTGTTGCCTGGATTTATAAAGGGCTGTTAGAAGTTGTAAATGTATTAGAATTTTGTTTTCCACAGCCAGTGGAGTGTACAAACTTGAACATACAACGCTTTTTCTTATCCAAGTCATCGGTCACAATTTCTTACTGACATAATTTTTAAATATGCTTCAAAATTTATTGAGCGTTTATTTTAATGTAAATGACTTTAATGTTGGATAAGTCATTCAAACGGTACTTAGTAATGTTGATATTTCAAAGTGTCCCTATGCCAACCTTTTAAATATAAACATAATTTCACGCGAATACAGTAACGAACTTCATAAACTATCAAAAAATATAAAGCTGAAATAAGGAGCGTAACCCTACTTGGTTTATAAAAATTGTGAAAGTATTGAACCAAAGCTTCCCCATAAAAACTGATTGAAAGGACTTGAAAAAGTACTAATTTTAATGTATCCTGCCTCTTCAGGACTTAGGAAAGTAACGAAAACTAAAAACATTTGCAACAACCCATTTACTTAGATCGAAAACTGTACCTAACCATCCATCGGTAATTTGTGCGCGAATCCTCATGAGTCCTATTCGCTTCTGTTTCGGTACGATTGGAACGGAAAAATATACTATGTATGCGGTGCGAGTGATAAATTGGTGCTCTGTATCCAATTTTCTCTTACGTAAACACTATATCACGCTAGAAAGTTATTTTTGGGTCGTAGTGATTCAATGAACCGCCTTTATTTATTTACGTGAATAATGCATGCAGAGCTATCTATCACATTTCCACACAAGCGATCTCCTAAGAATATTTTCAATATGTGAATTTTATATCAGCCCTAGTATCCTGAAACTTATAATTCTGACTTTTTAAGCCATGAATCGTTGAGAAATTTAGTTTCACAACATAGACGTTTACAGTGTTGGACGTTGAATGAAATTCAATTTCTACCCACAAACTTGGCCAACTTACTGAGTAACCTAATGTGGCCTAGAGAATTCCCCACACAAACAAGTTAGTTGAACAATATAACAAGTTTTGTTTAGAATCGCCTCATGAAATCAGGCTTCCATCAAAACAAACAATGGTGATTTACACAGCTAGAGTTAGGCTTTTGTTCTAAGATATATTTGTTTCCTTTAAATATAACTGTTTCTGCTTTATCAGAAATCGGTAAATAAGCGAATACAAAGCAAAGTAATTCATCAAACGTACTTTGAAACCAGCATATCTTAAATGAAAGGTACGTTTTTGTTTGATAGGTATAGATAATAAAATTCTTTACCACCTTGATGAGTACTTTCATTCCGAGCAATAGAAAGGGTAAACATAAAACTTTTATATGCTCCTTGTTGTTCCTACTGGCACGCTAATTGCAGTGTATTTCTTAGTTAAACAAGAATGTTTACACGGAAAAATAAAGCTACCTGGAGTGGGGGTTAACTTACGCTATTACAGCACCAAGGACTGTTTCTAGGTCAGATTGCAAGAAACTACACGACAACCGAGATAAGATCTTTCTAATTAAGAAAATAATAATTTTCCACAATATTATACAGTTTTCACTCTAAAATTACAAATATACATTTTGTCTGCGTTCCGTGATTTCACACCATAAACCTTGTAAAGTCAGATTACTTTAGCGATTATAAGTTTATTAAAGCAACATCTTATGACTGATAAATATGACCTAGTAACGAATTATCAAATTTTCAACATTTGTTTGACACCAAAACGTTATACGCAGGAAAAAACAATAGTTTGAAAACTTTCCATTGTTTCAGGATATCGACAACCTAATGACGGAGGGTAACAAATCACGAACGGTCGCCGCGACGAACATGAACAGCGAATCGTCGCGTTCGCACGCGGTATTCAGCGTCGTGTTGACGCAGACTCTCACGGATGCGGCGACAGGAGTGTCCGGGGAGAAGGTGGCCCGCCTGTCTCTCGTCGACTTGGCGGGCTCCGAGCGGGCTGTCAAAACCGGTGCAGTCGGCGACCGGCTGAAAGAAGGCTCTAACATTAACAAGTAAGAGGCTTGATGTGTAGTAATTGCACCGCACGCGGTGAAGATGGAACCATATGAAAATAAAATGCGGAAGATGGGACTTTATGAAAACAAAATTTGTTGTGCACCTATAACGATATGCAAAAAGGGCGGGCTGTGCGCTTTAGAGTGCAGTATCCCCTAATAAGAATTCGCTAAGACGTTGCCTCCACAAGCGAGAGAATGGTGATGAGACGGCCCACCAATCCGCACTAGGCCCGCGTAGCAAGTCTTGGCCCACTTTTCCTATTCCATTCCGCGCTAGGGTAGGTCATGATCCAATCTCCCCATTTCATGCAAAAAAATGTATCCTACCCACCAATCCGTACTGGGGCCGCGTGGTGGCTCATGGTCTTATCTCCCTATTCTATAAAAATACTAGCTGACCCAGCGAACTTCGTACCGCCCTAAAAAAATAGGGGTTGTCCAGCGGACAAAATTGTGAATCTAAACCATTCTCAGATCCCCTTGAACACACACAAAAAATTTCATCAAAATCGGTCCAGTCGTTTAAGAGAAGTTCAGTGACATACACACTCGCAGAAGAATTATATATATAAAGATATCTTACCCATCAATCCGTAGGCCTGCTCTGTAGGCCTATTCCCTAACTGCTTTTGACAGATGGAAGTTATAATCACCGAGCTATTTAGTGATCCACTACTGTTTTATTATAACGCCAATAAGATATTTGTTATGAAAAGTATCGATGCATATGCAACATTCACTTATAATAACACAGTTTAAATGTCAAAAAATTTAGCGATATGGCCGGCTGGGCTCGCGTGGTCATGACTCAATTCCCCCAACCCCTCCAAACTATTCAATAAAACTTTAAATCTGGTCGACACTCCACAGCCAGCGTCGTCAGTTAGTCGCCTACTTAGCTGCCCATCTAGCTACCCACGCAGCTGCCTCGCAAGGTTGTGATGGAAAAATCTTACATTTTATCGCTTAGCCCCCATCCGCTATACCGTCCGAAAAGGCCCCTCGTTCCAAAATCGGAGCTTTTTAAAAACTAACACTCCTGATCTGTTTGTTTAATGATTTTCTCTTTGCTGGTTAATCGATGTTTACTTAGCACGTGCCTTAAAATTCCTTCGTGTGCCCTTGTGTTCGAGGACTTCATAAACTTATTAATTATAGGGAAATAACACGCAACGTTTGTACTGACCAACGCGACAACTCATTTGGTCTGAGGCGACAACCTCCCAAAGGTTGAAATAGTATTGTATGGTTTCTTGTTACTGGAAGGTCGTGTTTTTACCTACCAGTGTTTGGGCTAGAGAGTTTACTATAACAATTTGTGTAGTTGTTACTCCTCGTTTATACCTAGCTATAATACATGTTTTTTAAAAAAAATATACAATGTTTTCATTTTTTATCCACATTTATATACATGTATAAAACATGTAGCGTACAATATTTACATCAATCTTGTTGGATTAACAATATATGTGAGGTAAATAAGAGATTTATACTTGTAAATATATAAGTTGTTTATGCAGTGTAACCGAAAGGATGTTTTCAACATTCACAACAAGTATTCTATAAGTTTTGTATAAAACTAGTATATGACTTGTTTCTTGGTGTAAACGAGGGGTTAGAAGAATTTAAAGGGCATCAGTGATTGCGACGTAGATCCGCTTAATTTGATAGAAATTGTTAGTTCCCTTAAACTTAAGAAAAACATAATTTTAACTTTTTAATACCTTTTCCTTAGGTCGTTGACGACGCTGGGCCTTGTGATCTCAAAGTTGGCGGACCAGTCGTCTGGAAAGACCAATAAAGACAAGTTCGTACCGTACCGTGACTCCGTGTTGACGTGGCTGCTTAAAGACAACTTGGGTGGAAATAGCAAAACTGTAATGGTATGTCTACATTAGTTTGATATGTTCAATGTATTTCCGTCTCTTTTTCTATCAAGAAAAGTATTATTTGTAGTAGAATGTTGTAGCATTAAAAATAGTTTCTCATGAAGGATAGATGGACGATACATATCAGCATGAAAGTGGATCATCACAGCCTCAACTCGAGCTGTCCTGTATTATTTTGTTCGAAATTTCTACTAAAAAGAAAAGCAGAATCGTACGAATTGCTAAATCGCGTGACGAATTGGTGGCTACTCGTATTTGTTTACCCAATGGTATGTGGGTGGGAGGAGCTCGATGTTGCAGTATTTGGCGCGATCGGTCTGTGATCGATTAAGCAAGTTAAACCAATTTTGACAATGGCCAGTCATAGGATGGATGGATTTTAGCGCTGATACAAACGACAGATATTTGTTTGAGATTCTCATCTCCCATACTATCTTTATTTCTAAGCGCATAAAGTTGAACTTGTCCGCTTATGAAAATTACGTAGAAGAGTTTAAGTTTACTCTTACAGCGATAAAAAGCGACTCGCAGATTTGATCGAATAAAGATCGGTCTTTAAACGTACTCGTTTGCGGAACCGAGATTTTATATCATATTTTTTCATGAATAAATAAGTAGGGATATTTCGTTTAGATTGGATCAAAGCCTGTCTGTGACTTAACATTATTCTGTAGTGTTGCTGCGGTGAGAAGTTTTAACATTAGTGGAGTTCGACTCGGCTTTTCTCATGACAAATCCTTCAAGGATAGATTAGGGATTTACAATGCCGCTTGGTGTCACATCTGTCTTAATGATACGGAAAGTGTAGGACCGTTGTGTGCGAAAATCTCAACAGTACACAACACACATACATATAAGTACAGTAGTCGCTAACTAACTTTTTTTTGTTCTCTATCAGGTAGATCATCAAAAAGTACCTGACACGTAATTTTTTCTGCTCACATAATCATAACATTCCAGAAATGGATTGATTTGAAATGTCGCATGACGTCGCGTCTTGGTACAATTTTTACTTAGAAGTGACGTAACGTGCCCCTACTCCCACCCTCTTATTAATAAACGAGGAATAAGCATAGACTAGTTAGGCCGTGTTTTGTTCGTATCACTGAAATGCCATTTGTCATTCAATGAACAGAGATAAAACAAGAAGTAACTAATCGAAGCTTATTCTTCGTCTATTAATAAGGGGGCCAAAGTTTTGGGGGTTCTTTGTAATTATTTGTGTTGAGTGAAACCATTAAAAAATAAGCGTCAATCACATCTCGATAGTTAAAATGACGGATTAGTTAGAATTCCGTTTAATTTATCCCGTCATCATGCCCCTATTTTTCCGCTCCAGGTGGCAACAGTATCGCCAGCAGCCGACAATTACGAGGAGACCCTATCAACTCTCCGATACGCGGACCGGGCGAAGCGCATCGTCAACCACGCCGTAGTAAACGAGGACCCCAACGCGCGCATCATACGCGAGCTGCGCCAGGAAGTGGAAGCTCTCAAGGAGATGCTCAAATACGCCACGGTAATTTAGACCTTATTACAAAACGTAGACTAAAGTTAAACCTGGACTCAAACATATTTTGTCATTTTTCTTTGCTACAAATAAGACAGAGACAACATTAGGTTTAAACTTAGACTTATTTAGTCCGCGTTTTTGAAACAAGGTGTTACCCCCTTCTTTATAAAGATAGTGGTGATATTGGAATACCTACTGCGTTATTTGTAACTGTTACTGCGTTAGGTTTAACTGGCTTTTAATTAAAGTAGGTACGATATTCCTGCGGTGAATTACTGTCATTAAATGCATCATAGTTTTCTTGTTTCCATAAAAGTTAATAAGAGACAGATGATCATATGACACTAACGATCCAAAACAATATTCAAGACAAAAGAGCTATGAACTGTCACAGTTCCTTATACTTTGAGATACTCTTTATTTGGTTATGCTTCTACTGTATGAAATTTCCAGGGATCACCGGTGGGCGAAGATGTGCACGAACAACTGGCGCAAAGTGAACATCTCATGAAGGAAATGTCGAGGACTTGGGAGGAGAAACTCGTCGAGACTGGTATGCACTTCATACAGACACACAGTTTTAGATGCGTTATCGTATATTATAACACTCCCTACATGTATTTTTAACGCCTATCATCCAAAATGCAATAAAAAGTACTTAGTAAAAAAATGCACTCATAGTAAGTGCCAAAATAAGGGTACTGAAGTTTTGTACGAAGGCCAAAGGGAAGTTCTTCTACCGAGCTGGGTGATGGAGCTCGAGGGCCGCGGGCCATCTGATGTCCGTTGGGCATTTTATGTTTGTGATGAGTTAGCCTCCGAATTCTTTTAGCGCGATGTAGGCTTCCATACTCTTCAAGTGCAGCGCCGGTAGCGCCATCTGTTGTTATGGAGTGTGAAGTTTGGCTTCGTTAATTATATGCGGGGCGTGTAGAGGTCGCCAGCAAAGTGCAATCCCAAAATAGAACTCACCTAAACGCTAGCACTAATTATTACGTACCTTTTACCAGGTCGGATACAAAGCGAGAGGCAGCAAGCTTTAGAGAAGATGGGCATCAGCGTGCAGGCCAGCGGCATCAAAGTAGAAAAGAACAAGTACTACCTAGTCAACCTGAATGCAGACCCTTCGCTCAACGAACTTCTCGTATATTACTTGAAGGTATTGATTCAGTTCAAAAGTAAATTGTTTCTTATTACGCAGTAATGCCTACTCAGATTTTTTGACTCCATCAGCAGACTTTTTATGCCATTTTTGTTCTGATTCGGAACATGATCTCTCTATTACCTAAAGAACAAAAGAAGTGTTTTTTGTCGTAAAAGGAATTTTATGCATTTAGTAATATGTCACATCTTCTTACACACACACACACATCTTCTAAATTTCAGTCTTTCATAACCTTATACTGCCTGAGTGCAGGCAAAATAGATAGATAGGCGCAGGTCACATGAACGAATATGTCTTGTCTGTTGTGATGACCTCTCAGACAAATAACTATTAATTATTGAAAAATGTATTTACATGGCTTTTAAGTTCTTAACGGATGTTCATTCTTTATTATACAAACCCGTACAATATTTCAGGATAAAACCTTAGTTGGCGCTGACCATTCAGCGGACATCCAGCTATCCGGTTTGGGAATCCAGCCGCAACACTGCCATCTAGTGGTGGAAGGCGGGTTTTTATTTATGGAACCCTTGGGTGGGGCGCGGTGCTTCGTCAATGGAACCCCTGTGGTCTCCCGAGTACGTTTGGGCCACGCTGACAGAATACTGTGGGGAAACCATCACTTCTTCCGCGTCAATTGCCCTAGGACTACGAGTGAGTATAGTAAACTAGCAAACAGCACTGCCATCTAGTGGTGGAAGGCGGGATCTTATTTATGGAACCTATGGGCGGGGCGCGGTGCTTCGTCAACGGAACCTCTTTGGTCTCCTGAGTACGTTTGGGCCACGCTGACAGAATACTGTGAGGAAACCAAATTATATACAATAATATATAATTTAAACGATTATTATTTCCAATTTCAGAGTTTCATAAAAATATGGAGTTTTTTTATTAATATTAATAATGCAATCATATTACAAATAATAATATTGTATTACAGCAGCGGCATCTGAGCCGCAAACTCCCGCGCAGCCCATCGACTACAACTTCGCGCGGGACGAGATTATGCTGAATGAACTCAGCAACGACCCCATACAGACCGCGATATCGCGGCTGGAGAAACAGCACGAGGAAGATAAACAAGGTATTCTCCTTATTATAATTGATATGTAACATCTTTCCTCTCGCTTTCCTGCAATTTGTGGGAGTTTTCGTGAAATGGGACGGAAATGTGTAACAGGAAGTCGCGAAAACGCGCGCTATTTGATTTGATTTTAGAACATAATGTCCAAATGGTTTATTCCTATATCTATACGTATGGATTGAATGGTAGTCGATTGCGGCAGGAATAAAGGTAGTGGAGCAGCTACATTCACTCTGCTATAAAGTGCTAGCAGGTTTTCATTCCGCTTTATAATAAAGCTACGTTTTTGCAACAAATATTCTCCAGCTAGTTTTTTAAATTAAAATTAAGTCGTAAGGTGTACACATCTTCCATTATTTTATATTGATGCATTACAATGCATCATATTAAAAATAATGGAAAACGTTACTAGAAATAATAATAAAAAAAACAGATAAACGAATCTGTTCATTACAAAATCCTTATAAGATTTCTAACCGAAAACCATTAGGTAATAATACAAAAATATCGATAAGGTCGTATTTTTTGTGAGAATAGTAACTTGTTACTTTAATTTATTTCAGCGCTATTGACTAGGTACACCAAAACAAACCAAAAAACGTAAAATATTTTACAATGCTTATCATTACCCAAGATAGATTGTCTCTGTAAATAAGTAAGCTGTTGTTTTACGATAGCAAATTTGTTTCAGTCGCTTTGGAGAAACAGAGGCAAGAGTACGAAAGGCAGTTCCAGCAATTGAGAAATATACTGTCGCCGACGACACCATATCCACCGTATTCGTACGATCCCCTTAAACTCGGTGAGTTTTATGAAGGCCCTTGATACCATTTCTCACAAACTGATTGAAAAACATTGTGTTATTCCCAAGCAGTTATAAAAATAATCTCTCAGAGAAAAGAAAACAAAATTGATTTGTGTTTGAATGAAATCTATTTTCAATTTTACAGAAATCTTTACATATTGATTATAATACAATATTTGTAAATGTACTTATACATTTACGACCGAACGATTCTTATACCTGCTTACTTAAAAAAATACTTTAAAAAATCTACTTTATTATTTAGATCGGTTTTTTCGTTAGTCGTGAAAACCTATCAGTTTAATGATTAATAACATAATAATTTCGTAACATCATCAGCCTATTAATTTCCCCACTGCTAGGGCACAGTCCTTCCCTATGGATATAATAATAAGATTGGGCCATGACCCACCACGCGGCCCCGGTGTGTGGATTGGTGGGTGCTATAGTACGGTCGCCGGGCAGAAAGAATTTCGCACAATGACCCCACGCTACTCATCCTTATCGCTCGCGCGCAATTATGTTGCTGTCTCGCTCGCACACGTACAGTGTGTAGTACTGTGAGCAAGCGTGACAGCAACACGAATGTATAATAATGAACATAATTTGTATATTTTAGGTAAAATGTCAGCGTGCACTCCCACAACGGCGGCTCGAGTGGAGCGATGGGCGGCAGAAAGGGACGACACCTTCAAGCGGTCCCTGGGCCGTTTGAAGGCAGACATATTGCGGGCCAACGCGCTAGTGCAAGAGGCCAACTTTTTAGCTGAAGAAATGAGGAGGAACACGCGGTTTAGTGTAACGCTGCAGATCCCGCCGCAAAACTTGAGCCCGAATAGAAAGGTGGGTTGATTATATTGCACTTTTTTTTCAATTTTGACACTGCTAGTTTAGGAATCTCAAGTTTTTTTTTAATTTTTTTAAATCCTCTCGGTTTCTTTAGAAGGAAGGTAAAGTTGCCCGGCTGGTGTAGTAATCAACGAATTAGTATCACACTACGGATACAACACCAAAACCAATTTTACGTGTCTTCTAGTCAAATTAGTTTATTATAACTAAAACTATTTACAACCCGAAATATAGTATATCTTATCCATATTATACTAACAATATTTGTCGGTACAGTGTCCTATATTTCGGATTGTAAATAGTTTAGGTTTAACAAACTAATTTGACTAGAAAACACTATGTTTCTGTAGACCATTTGTCAGAGTAAGTGTGTTTTGTAATATTGATCTTTTTTAACATTAACTCTGCAAAGTCATTGTTAAAACGAGTTTTGATAAGCAATATTGAAAAATAAAATCTATAGCTTTGCAAAAAACTCGCGGAGCAGTTTTCTCCCGAGGTCACAGAACTATTTATTATTTCAGAACTTAAAATCGCAGTTTTCTGCGGTCCCGGTGCGGTTTAAATTACGAGATTGCTAGTTACCTAAACAAAAGATCGGACGAAGCCTGCCACGGATGCCACAAACGACCCCGTACTCAGCGGGTGAAAATTCGCCGTGAAATTTTCAACTGTGTTTTACCTACAATTTCACATTCTATGCTAGTTGCGGTCCCGCAGCCGCGGCGGGTGCGTGTGTAAATCGCGCCATGTGTTCTTAACCCGTATTAATCGCTCTCAACTCTGTGAGCGATCTAGGTATTATGCTGTATTGTATGAAAACAGTATCAATCAGTTTCAAAGCGGTCTATTAATACGATCCTTAGTAATCTTTGTATCAGATTTCGCCTATAAAAGAAGTTTAATTTTTTCACAAATAAATTAACATTTCCCATGATACATTTATCCAAACGTTTCCAACAGCGTGGTGCGTTCGTATCGGAACCCGCTATAATGGTGAAGCGTCCGGGGCGCGGCGGTCAAGTGTGGTCGATGGAGAAGCTCGACAACAAGCTCGTGGACATGCGCGACATGTACGACGACTGGCGACGTCGCCAGCAGCGCTCGCCCACAGAGCGGCCCGTAGAGGTGAGTTGAGTATATATGTAGCGGCCGACTGCAAATCCCATAGGAACCTAACATTTTCCGGGAAAGCTGCCAGTGTTCAATCACTCGCGTGCACTGCACGGTTGTTTGCCTCCGAGTCTCTTTTACTCATGCGCTAACACTAGAATCGTTATAACTCCTCGTCGATGTAAGTGGATGTTTTTTGCCACGAGTTAAGAAAATAATTTTCATTTTTCATGTTTTGCTTTCTACCATATTTAGTAATGGTTTTTAATTTACACATCTAATGGTGCCAATTCTAGCATGATTCTCTAAACTTAAAACTAAATTTAACATCAGACTCTCCTTTTCGTTCTTTATGGATAATGACAAGGATACACTGATGTCAAATTTAAGTTTAGGTTTAGAGAATCTTGTCAGAATCAACACCATTATATAGATAAGTTTGTAGAGAAACTAATCAGGATTGATTTAAGATGTAAATGAAACCTGGATGTACAGTAGAACTCGAATAATAAGTGGAAATATTGTAAAAAGATTGGGAAACAGGCATATGGTTTATTTTATAATAAGCAGCTATCAACAGAAGCTTGCTCTCGCGCGTTGATCAAAGTATGACGACTCGTGTCATTAAAGAAAAGAATCCAAAATGCCGACGCATAACATTCTGTCTCTCTCGCACGTTACTTAGGACAGCAACAAGATGGGACAGACTGTCTTATGTCGTCATTCGCGTTTCCTTTCTTTAATGACAACAGTTATACTACGATATGGTGTTCAGACAATTGTTATCATCTGTATTATTTGGCTTCAGTATTCGTTAAAGTGAAGATAATCCCCATGTGAATGTCAGAAAAGAAGCGGATACTCATACCATAAATAAATACTCAACTTAATGAAAGCATCAAATGTACATAAAGATGAACTAATTGGAAATAATATGGAATACGAACTGCGCTAAAAAAGGTTCCTCGCAAACTGTGATCAAGTGGGCGGGGCAAAAAAAATACCTCTCAATACGCCGATCATGGGATTGGTTGGGATTTCCGTTTAACATTATCTTACCCAATAAAATTTGAATTAATTTGCAGATATTTGATTTGTCAAAGTATTTCGTTTTGTCTGTGAGCGTATGTATGAGGTTGGAAACATGTTTTAGCGGCATTTGTTACAGAGTAATGTTGCCATATCATTACGAATTCGTTGATAAAAGTTCACTTTTTGTTTGTTTCAGGAGCAAAGCGACAAAGTGCTAGATCCATTCTACGAGTCCCAGGAGAACCACAATCTAATCGGCGTCGCCAACGTCTTTCTAGAGGCGCTGTTCCACGACGTCACACTCGATTATCACACGCCAATCATCAGCCAGCAGGGAGAAGTCGCAGGGCGTCTGCAGGTATCAAAAAAGGCGATTTTAATTATCATAATAAGAGTGCTGAATCCATTCTACGAGTCCCAGGAGAACCACAATCTAATCACACTCGATTATCACATGCCTATCATCAGCCAGCAGGGAGAAGTCGCGGGGCGTCTGCAAGGATCAATAAAGACGACTTTAATTCTCATTATAAGAGTGCTGGATCCATTCGACGAGTCCTAGGAGAACTATGATTACGAGAAGTGAGATTAGTGAGAAGTCGCTATGATTTCGGAACAGAATGTTATGTCCTATTAATTAAATGTAAACTGTCGCTTATTTCCGGACAGAATCTTAGATTAAATGAAGCACATGTAACATAGTTGATTGTATATAATGGAAGCGGTATATCGCACTTTTGTGTCAAGAATACACGTGCATTATGAAATTAACTCTTATTGCTATGTTAAAATGTGAGAGCATCCAAGAAGCCCAAGCCCAATTTTTGACAGTTTTGTAACTTATCGTTATCGTCAAATTGGTATGAAAAAGGTAGTTTGTTCTTACGTTAGATAGCGCTGCGAAGCTCTCATAGAAAGTTCGATACGTTGCGAAGCTATAAAAAAATCGTGCTTGGGCTTCTGTTTAGCCTTGACTTTACTACTCAGACTGCTTCGATAAATAAAAATTTTGGGGCAATCGAATTTAAACTTTTAATTAAAGAAAACTAAGTGCAATTTCAACAAATCATTACGAATATTTAGGTGGAGTTGAGTCGCGTAGCTGGCCAGTTCCCGCAGGACAGGATCTGTGAAGCGGCGTCTGACAGTTCTAGCGATATGCGCGATGAAGACGACCCCGTAGATCAAGCCACTCAACAAGTTAGTAACTATAAAATAGATTAATGAATATTTTAGTATCACTAAAGTAAGGCTAACGAGAACCGATTCAAAATGAAAATAAAGTCGTTGAAAGGTCTTAAGCCAATGCAAGGGTTGGCAACATTTTTGAATATAACAATTTATTCATGAAAATTTACTTTGGACTTTTACCTATAATTATAATAATATGTAGTGAATTGTGTATTATTATTATTTATATTTAAAAAAGCAAAAACTGCTTTATTTAATTCTGAAAATAAGAACAACAATTAAACATTTAAAATTAACAGTCGTTCAAATTATCAAAACAGAAATTAAAAGCAGTTCAAGTTCGTATCCCGGCGGGATAAATTGACAGTTATCTTCCCCATTTGTTCGAGTTTGAATCAGACCTCTCTTTAAATTAAAACATTTTAACAATTAAATCATTTTTCTTTCCTTCCTTTCTTTCTAAATTTATGGCTAATCATAATGTTTCGCGTGCGCAGGTAACGATCCGCGTGTCAATAAAGCAGGCGACCGGCCTGCCCCCATCGCTGTCTCACTTCGTGTTCTGCCAGTACTCCGTGTGTGGGGGCGAGGCGGTCGTGGTTCCGCCCCGAGTGGCGGCCGACGCCCCGCCCTCGCCCCGGGCCCCGCAGGCCTCCTTCCGCTTCGACCACCAGCGGGACTTCACCCTGGCCCTCACCGAGGAACTGGTCGAGCACTGCGCCGGTCAGTATTATATTATACAGCACGCAACAATAACACCACAGTGCACGTTCGCTCCGTACGAGCGCCCGCAGCAAAGTGAGTGTTGGCGACAGAATAAAACTCTAGTTAAATGTTAGAATTTACTTGGAAAAATATTTACAGAGCGAAAACTAAAGACAATGAATAAAATAATATTGAAGTAAACAAGTGTTGCTATGCAACGAGAACGTCTGCGGCTGCGTTCTCAACAGTGAGCATGGAGGTTAGAGAGAAGAAGAACGATAGCTACGTGCTAAAGTCTGCCTGGCCCTGAAAATTTGTAGAATATATAGTTCATTTTTGAACTATATATTCTACAAATAAGTTAATTCTACATGTAAGTAGTACCTGTGAAGTTAGCTGTTGAGTACAAGTAGATGAAGTTAGGTGAATAATGTAATTTTTTTTTGCGGCATTGGTCATGAGCGCACAACAGCCCGCTTTTATTGAGGCAACTTAGCGATCGCAGCGCCTAACTTATTTTGTCCATATTTCTGTGACACTATTTTCTACAGCGATCGTTCTGCTTCTCTCTAACCTTCATGAAAGTGAGCGTGCGCCGACTGACGCCGCCTTTTAAGAAGCGTTGCTCGGTCTGTGTTCATAAGGGGGAGAACTTGTAAGGAAATATAGCTCCCCGCAGGCCGCCTACCGCTTCGACCCCCAGCGGGACTTTACCCCGGCCCTCACCGAGTCGCTGGTCTATACAGAATGCCACAAAACTTTGCCAACTTTGTCACCGACTTACTGTGGCCACTATTCCTACACGAACAAAGAAATTTGGTGACTCATTTCCTTGTATCACTATTTTCAAGTGGAAAAAAACCCAGTAATTTAAAATTAAAATTTTGGTCAGAATAATGAATTGTCTTTCTTTATATCTTGTTCCTTGCAATACAACTGAGAAACTTCATTTAATGCAGTTTTGTTCATAAACATTATATTGACGATATACTCCAATTTCTGTATTTCTTTATTGTAGAGGGTGCACTATCGATCGAAGTGTGGGGCCATCGATCGGCGGGGTTCAGTCGCGGCCGCAACAACTGGGAGGTGGAGCAGCAGCAGCTGGCCAAGGCGAGATCGCTGGCCGACCGCTGGGCAGAACTCACGCGGAAGATCGAGCTTTGGGTCGAGATCCACGAGCTCAACGACCAGGGGGAGTACGCCCCCGTCGAGGTAAATATACCCTTAAATATATTTCATTATTATACTAGCGGCCACCTGCGACTTGTACGCGTGGAGTTGGTTAGAAATAAAGGTTCACTGCTTGTTACCCGTAGGTGACAGCGTGATAATATGTTGACCCAACTTTTTTTCTTTTCTTTTTGTTTTCTTAATAATATTCGTGCCAAAGGAGATTGCTCAAATTGGCCTAAATGCACAAAAAATATTAACATACACGGTAATTCTTGGCGTAATTTATAATTTAATTTACAGTCATTAGATTTCAACGGACACCTTTGTATAATATATTTACTTTAAAAAGGACTTTTAATTTTACCGGTTTGGAAAACATACGAATCATTTTTAATGGCTATGGGTGTAGTAACATTCAGCCAAAGTCTGATCGAAGTTGTTTATATAACATAAAAACAAATCTATTTTGTAAAGATCGATAAAATAAATCATTTTTTTTATTACACTGTGGCATTAATATCCACAACTATATTATCATTTTCACTAGATGCAAATGTGCTCAGACAATTATTATAGATGGTAGGCGACATCATAAAGTCTATTATAAGCCATACATTTTTCGCCAAACACCTCCATAAACATATTATAATCTGTATATATGTTACACTTTAAGGTATCTATCTATGGGCCTACGTTCCCTGACTATAAATTAATAAATAAAATTATAAGGTGTGATACACTAAAAATCTAAAATATGGTTATCTTAAAAACACAACAAAAATAATGAAACTACTGAATATGTGGCTATAGAACCTAAATCTCTTAGCTTTCTTTGGTTAACGAGAGTTTAAAAATCTCTGTAATCTGTGGCTCATTCACAATCATCACACAGTTTCTGTCACAGAGTACCTTATTATAACCGGAAATGACACCTGATTTTAAAAGTTACTCTTATGCATTAACTTTAAAAACAGGCAACTATCTGTTAATCTACAGGCTCTATATACCTGAATCTAATCCATAATTTCGGTACTTGGCTTGATTTCCCTATTTTACTATATAACTTATTTGTTTTTTATTATTTTAATATGTTCAGTGTATATGGTTTACAGAAGTTCTCAGGGGTGGCCGTCAATAATATTCGTTTCTACAGTAATTTATATATAATTTCGAATCTAGGAAACAATTTTTCATGATTATTGGTTTTTAGGCCAAATATGTATGGAAGCTGAGCAATCTCCTTTGAAGTAAACCCATGCAGTACTTTTTGAGTTTATCCCGGACAAAGATACAGACAAACAGGCAAAAATTCTAAAAACTATATTTTTGGCTTCGTTATCGATTGTAGCTCACACCCCAAGTATTCTTTTAAAAAAATATTTAATGCACTGTTTTGACTTTTCTCCCATTTTATTATATGTATAGATAGTCTCTTAAAAAACAGGCAGAGATAACTGCGACACGCGTGAAAGAGGGTTGTTTTTGGGCGGAGCAACGACAAAAAAGACCTTGCGTCTTTAGTCCGGCCAGTGCCTAGTTAATGGAACGCTTTACACGAGATAGAGGGCTGTCAATGGGTGGAGTAACTAAAACAAAGACAATGCGTCTATAGTCCGGCCAGTGATATAACAGTTTTATTTCCGTGAGGAGTAGTGTATGAAGCAATACGGCCAAGGCGACGGACCTCTGGGCAGAACTCACGCGCAAGATTGAGCTCTGGGTCGAGAGTCACGGACTACACGACCAGGGGGAGTACGCGCTAGTGGAGATAAGGAGAATCAAAGAGGTTTTACAAAAACGAGTAGTTTTTTTTATTACAGAACAGACGGAGATCATTACGCGAAGACAGAACAATTACATCTCAATAAATAGTACCTACAATGAGTGCAATTTATTGTACAAGCCATGTAGTTCTACTTTATTGTTTTCCATTCCCAGTCGATGCACCTTATAATATTAACACAACATTACTTAATATTTGTTATTTGTAAACATGACGTAAGTCTGTCCTCTTCATTCCTTGTAGTGCATGATAAGGACAGACTGATATCAAGATTACGAATAGCAGAGCCGAATAGCCTAGTGAAGTGCCGGCATTATACGAACATGTTTCACATCATTTGCTTGCTTGTGCTTGTGCTTGCTTTTCTTGTTTCTATAAAAATGTTAACATGAAATATGGTTGAGACATTCTTTTAAGTATAATAATACTTGGTGTAAGAAGATCTCGCTTTTCATTGCTGAATCAGCATTGTTTTATACCTATACTAGCGGCCCGCCCTCGCTTCGCTTCGGTGTAGAGTTGAAGTGTAGACTACAGTTTTTGTTCTCAGGCTTGTATTATTATACACAATGACATTCATCTATGATTCTTTTTATACCTGCATGCAAAGTCTCAGCCCGATCGGTTTAAAATTTACAAAGTTTCATACAAACTTTCATTCCCTATTTTATCCCCTTGGGGGTAGAATTGATCAAAATCCTTTCTTAACGGATGCCTACGTCATAACATCTACCTGCATGCCAAATTTCAGCCCGATCCGTCCAGTGGTTTGCGCTGTGCGTTGATAGATCACTATGTCAGTCAGTCACCTTTGAGTTTTATATATATAGATTAACGTCTTTTAATAAGTATCTCCCTCCCAACGATCGTGCCGTGACGTTATTAACATATTGACCATCAGTTTGACTTTTTATCCTGCAGGTGGTCCAACGCGCCGACATGGTGACCGGCGGCGTATATCAGCTCCGTCAGGGCCAGCAGCGCCGTATGGCGGTGAGGGTGCGGCCCGCCCTCAACTCGGGCACGCTGCCCATCATCTGCCAGCACATCGTCAGCGTGGAGGTCGGCTCCGTGTCCGTCAGGTACTGTTTTTTTTTAAGTGTGTATGCTGTTGGTCTTAGATGACCCTTACAGCGTCACCGGGTTTGGGGACGGCGAGATCCTAAGGGGACCTCAAGCCGAGAACTGGCGAGTGCCTCTAGAGGTTTTCCAGGCGGATAGCATCTCCCCACGGGGGAGTGTCCTCTCCGTATGGAGCCTCTAGAATCTAGAGGTTTTGGTGTAATAAATTAAATAAACAATAAGTAATTTGTTTCTTAGTTTTTCACGCACAACACGCAATGTACTTATTGACGTTTCATTTAAACAATAAGTAATAATTTACTTATTGTTTAAATGAAACGTCAATAAGTATGCTTGGTATAAAGACGTTAGTAGGTCGTTGTAAAGTAGTTTTCTTTAATTCACTTACGTTTTTTTATTAAGTTTTCGGTGCCCGCGTAGCGTATCAGGATTTTCAAAATAGCCCTTGGAGCAATACCACTTGGGCAACACTGCTCTAGACCACTAAAACGGCTCGGCTCAACTAGAGGGCGTCTCTGAGACTCGAACCTCGGCTCTAGTAACTCGTTGTCGTGGGGGGTGGGGAAGAGGTACTGGTGTGATGTGATCCGACGCGGCGACATGGTGACCGGAGGAGTATACCAGCTCAGTCAGGGCTACCTGGCTTTGTTTATGTTAAACCTTAGGTAAAAAGAATTAACTCAACGTTCCCTGCCCAACTGTAAAAAGTAAAAGAAGCAAGTAAGGCAAGACAAGAGACGAAGCAATCATGCTACCAATAGTTCGTATAATAGGTATTGACCGTGCCATAAATTTCACTCTCTGAAAAATTGTCAATATTACACGAGTGTCACTCATTCGACCCTATCGTCTTAGGGATTATCGCAATGTTCTTGTCATCCCTATACTTCGCTTACAGTGCGAATGGCCGTACTTGAAAAAACTTTTAACTCTTTAACTTAATCTTTTACAACCTTATTAATAAAAGTAGAAATTTGGGCCCCATGTTTTGTCTCTGTTCATTGAATTGCAATGCAAGTCTTAAGCTTATTCCTAGTTTATTAATAAGGGGGTAATTGATTCCGTATTTAGTCCGACATTGTAACATAAATGATATAACTACAATTGTAGTATTCGGAATTGAGAAGCTGTCACATTTATTTACGCTCTTTTTCAAGCGGCAGCAGTGTGATAATTGATCAGTAATTATGATAGTAGTGATAGCATTATTTTTTCTCAGGTCCCGTCTACAGAAACCGTTGGATTCGTACCAGGAGGAAGATCTAGCTGTTCTGCGTGAGCGTTGGAGCGACGCGCTCGCCCGCCGTCGACAACATTTACATGCGCAATTGCAGGTGCGTAAGATATAATATATTGGAGATACTTCAGACATATTGCGGTTCGGCTACGACCTTGCTACTAAGAGTGACGACAAACGATATTAAAAATCCTAGATACACTACGAGTGGTCAAAATGTGTCCCAATCAAGAACTGCTTAAAACGCCACTCTTGGTTCACAGTCACACGCGGACCATTGAAAAGTCAACATGCCGCAGAACTCCGTGAAGAAATAAAAAAAAAGTACTTAAAAGTGCAATGTCTGTGTTAAGTTAACACATTTGAAGCAACTTTTGTTCTAATACTTACTATAAACTGATTTCATAGAAAATATTTGTAATAATCAAATGCATGCAATGTACCTGCTATATTGCTAACAGCCCATTCAGAATTACGATATAATGAATGAATAAATATAATAAATAAATATTTCCAACACTCACACCAATTAGCCTAGCCCCAAAGTAAGCACTATAAGGCTTGTGTCATGGGATAGTAAGGTAACGGATAGAATACATATACTGTACATATATAAGTATATTTTTATAGTAATACATTTTAAAAATCCATGACTGGAGTACAAATGCTCGTATTCATCACACAAACATCTGCCCCCACCGGGATATGAACCCGGGACCTCTGGGGTCGGCGACACCATGAAACTCGGCGTACCAACCACTCGGCCACGGAGGTCGTCATCATGAATAGATATAAACTATTTATTCTTGCTATAGCGACAAGTCGTAAAATATAACGAGCTTATACCTATTTCGAACTGTCATAACTCTCTGACGTATGCGTTTAAATTGAGACCATATATACTCTATGCAATAAAATGTTTAAGTAATGCCTATTATTGTTTTTGACTATGCGGTCATCCCACGGATCTTCGTGGATTGTTCATTATACCTTTTGGACAGGTTTCGGCCACGATTTTGTTCGTGATGTTGTATCTAGGGTTTTTAATGTCTTTGATGTCGATGACGACCGAGCTTAGAAGAAGGACGCTACGAAGTTTATTTTAATCTTGGGGAACTTGCGTATCCTATTTTCAGCCGATTTTGTGTAATTTCAAACAAACCTTTACACGTGTGTCACATCACAACCCGTTTGGTAATGTTGGTGATTTCAATCTTAGTATTTTTTTACAGAAACTGGTGAACATGTCGCCGTCATTGAAAAGTGAACGCGACATGGAGCGAGAACAGTCTTTGGTAGAACAATGGGTGTCGTTAACGGAGGAAAGGAATGCAGTAAGTGTTAGAATCCACCAAACAGTCATATCCTCCCGCAGTTCTCTGACGTTACTAAACAAAACACTGTATGATTATAGTCTTGCAGCTTGTTTTGATAAATTGAAATCTAGTAAGAGATGTTGCTATGATAGTTTCATCATTAAAACTATAATATCAACTGTAACCCTAAGAACGAACCAATATCAAATTCGAATAGTTGAATTCGATCTCGATACGCGTCAAATGTTAAGAAGTTTTGTATGGAAGATTTAAATTCTCGTTACGTCCGTTGTGGCGCTGCTCGAACTTTAGATTTTAGCCATGTTTAGTTGTTAGTATAACAGTGTTTGATACTGCAGGTACTAGTCCCGAGTCCCGGAAGCCCAATCCCGGGTGCGCCGGCGGCCTGGAATCCACCGCCCGGAATGGAACAACATATCCCTGTATTATTCCTCGACTTAAACGGTGAGTTATTGGTGTCGATTCTGGCATGATTCTTTAAACCTGATATAAATTTGACAACAGTGTGTCCTTGTCATTCTCTATACAGAGTGAAAAGAAGAGACTGATGTTAAATCTAGTTTTAAGTTTAGGGAATCCTGTCGGTATCGACACCAATGGTGGTGTTACTTTATTGAATCGTATTATTTGACTTTCGACTACAAACGGTGCCGTACACGGCCTATTTTTTGCTATGATGATAAGTAGCCCATTCTTCGTAGACTTCCAGTTTTGAACGCTTTATTGAATAAAAGTGTAAAAAATAAAGGATTTGCAACATATAAAATCTGTTCTCAATTTTGTTTTTCACGGCTGGAAAGGAACAATCCTTCAATATTCTTCTTATTATTCGAGTTTACTCTACATCCAGGCTTCATTTATGTGTTAAATCAATCCTGAATAGTTATCTGCACACTTATCTATATATTAGATGTGTAAATTATAAACCATTACTAAATATGATAAAACGCAAAATATGAATATGACTTGTGGCAGAAATCATCCACTTACGAAGACGAGGGGGTATTGAAGTGAAACTTCTTAAAGGACACTAAAGGAGTTTTCGCATTAAATCTTACGCGTAACTCGTATCATCCTGTAACCCTTTCTCTATTGTGAAAGAGTAGCAATAATAACAACAAGAAGGCATCCGTAATTTTGTCACCATAGAAGGAAAAATAGCCGAAAAAAACAGACTTGAGGTCTTAAATCAAATGATTGGTGGTTCGATCACGAGTTCGTATCCTAATTTTTTATTTGTTATCAGCGGACGACCTGTCAACACATGGCGGGGGCGGATCTGTGGGCGTCTCGGGCCTCCACTCGATATTGCCCAAGGAGCACGGCAACCGGTTCTACGAGCTGCAGATACTGCACCACCACGACAAAGACGTCTCCGCGCTCGCCTCCTGGGACTCTTCCATCCACGACTCGCAGTACCTCAACCGGACTACGGAAGGTCAATACTCTCTCCTTTTTCTAGCTAGCGAGGTAGGCTCTGTCGATATTGCCCAAGTAGCGCGGGAACCGGTTCTAAGAGCTGCAGATACTGCACCATCACGACAAAGACGTCTCCGCGCTCGCCTTCTGGGACTATCCCATCCACGACTCTCAGTACCTCAACTGGACTACAAAAGGTCAATACTCTCTACATTTTATAGCTAGCGAGGTAGGCTCTGTCGATATTGCCCAAGGAGCGCGGTAACCGGTTCTAGGAGCTGCAGACACTGCACCATCACGACAAAGACTTCTCCGCGCTCGCCTCCTGAGACTCTTCCATTCACGACTCGCAGTACCTCAACCGGACTACGGAAGGTCAATACCGTCTATATTTTCTATCTATCTAGCGAGGTAGGATCTGTCGATATTGCCCAAGGAGCGCGGAAACCGGTTCTACGAGCTGCAGATACTGCACCACCACGACAAAGACGTCTCCGCGCTCGCCTCTTGGGACTCTTCCATTCACGACTCGCAGTACCTCAACCGGACTACGGAAGGTCAATACCGTCTATATTTTCTATCTATCTAGCGGGGTAGGGTCTGTCGATATTGCCCAAGGAGCGCGGAAACCGGTTCTACGAGCTGCAGATACTGCACTATCACGACAAAGACGTCTCCGCGCTCGCCTCCTGGGACTCTTCCATCCACGACTCACAGTACTTCTACGGGACTACGGAAGGTCAATACCCTCTTCTTTAGCTGTCTAGCGGGGTAGGATCTGTCGATATTCCCCAAAGAGCACGGCAACCGGTTCTACGAGCTGCAGATACTGCACCACCACGACAAGGATGTCTTCGCGCTCGTCTCTTGGGACTCTTCCATCCACGACTCGCAGTACCTCAACCGGACTACGGAAGGTCAATACCGTCTACATTTTGTATCTTTGATATGAAAGTATGTAGATTGGTGGGTGCTTACGAATGCAGATGCAACCAGGGCCAACGGCTTAACGTGCCTTCCGAAGCACGGAGGAGCTCTAGATAGTATATTTTTGGTCACCCATCCAATGACCGACCACTGCGAAATTTTAACGATCGCAGCCGAACACCCTAACCACCCGCTCCATGGAGCTCTTGGGAAGGTCAATACCCTCTACATTTTCTATCTTTGGTATTGGAGTATGTATTTAATAGCAAACGTGTCATTAGCTTAAAATTTTAAATACTCCACATTTGGCATTCATCTATAACATATCAGTGTCCCCACTGCTGGGACACAGGCCTTCCGTATCACGAAGGAGCCTAAAAAAACAGAAAATTACAGGCTTTTGAGCTCATAAGAAGACTCGTAACTATCTTTTTTATTAGTATACTTTTACTGTCGGTGTTGACATTTTCTATATTTATCATTCATATGTCGTTTTTGCTATTAATCTTAATAATAAGCCTTTTTAACATGATTGCAGCCAATGAACGCGTGTACCTGATTCTGAAGACGACAGTGAGACTGTCGCACCCCGCCCCGATGGATCTCATACTTAGGAAACGATTAGGGTTAAACATTTACAAACGACAGAGCTTCACAGATAGGATACGCAAGAAAATCGTCAGGTTAGTATCATCTTCTTCTTACCTTAGAATATAGAAATTTATAGTTTCCCATATAATTAGCACTCTAAAGCTATTTAGCTTATTATTTCATGTTGAATATAATTTAATTAGAACACGTTGGTTCGTTGAAAATACGTATTTCATAGAAAATTGTATCTCAGAAGATAGTAATTATATTCACAACTTAACATGTATGTGATTATAATAGTTCTAAAACATGCTACTTTATTAAGTAAATCATATCTTTCTCAAGCAAAATATAGTCAAAGTTATGTGAATTACTCTTCATATATGTTAATGTACAATAACACTTTAGGTCTCTGATCTTTTTAAGCTTTCTTCTCATTCAATGAATATGCGATTAGCAGTTCCATATTCAACTGCAACTAAAACTAAATAAAATCATCGCACCACACAATCAGGACATCTTTTAGCTGATGAGAAGAATGGACGCAAGAAACTCATCAGCATATTTACATAAAATCATGCCGCTACCAATACAATGTCCACTCACATCTTGATTGCTGTGTCATACAGTATAAGTACAAATAGTGTTTATATAAGGTATAATTAGATAACATTTCGATAGTAAGGCACTATAGAGCAGACTCATCTCCGCTGACAGCACCCGTTCACGATCATGATGTAGAAACATATTTTTTTTTTATAGCGAGGTAGGCAAATGACTCTACCCCACCTGATGTTAAGTGGTGATAAAGTCCAAACGCGAAGATAGCTGGTACAACAATTATAAACTGCTACACCAACCATCCTGACCTTGCCGGCCTGCAAAAATGCTTCTTCGCGCCTCTTAAAGGACCCCAGATTATAGGCAGGAGGGAACACTTGCGTGGGTAAAGAATTCCACTTACGAATAGTACGACAAAGAAATCACCAAATTTTTTTTGTTCGTGAAGAAATAGTGGCCACAGTAAGTCGGTGGCAGCGTAGGCCAACGCGCGTGGTCCTCTGAAGAAAAGGTGATGGAGGGATAAGGGAGAATAACTCCTCAGAACACTCGCCGTGGTATAGTTGGTAGAATGCGCTTAATGATGCCACATCACGGCGTAATAGGGTATTTGACAAGTTTTAGAAAACGATCTCATGTTATTGACTGATGTTTATGGAGTCAGTAAAAAGTGGATATTCATCATTCTGTTGTGTATTTCAGTAAAAATAACCAAATCAAAAACTCCATTTTCAAGTTGCCGCGAAAACGTTTCTCTGGACAATATGGCGTCTTACTAGTGTGCACGATACAATGTAATGTCACTTTAACCGGAAGTTTACTTGCGTATGACATCATTTTAGGCTCCGCCAATCCCAAGCGCAAACGATAGATAAGAAAAATATTATCTTTTTCGTGGGTTTTTAGTAAAATTATGAATATTTTTTTATGTAAAAATAGTAAAAGTCCCTGCCAATATTCATTCTAAACGCAGATGCTAACAATTGGCACTTTATTTTTAATACTGTCAAATACCCTATTGTAATGATATATTTTCACAGGACTGATCAGTTAACGCAGACGGGAGTAACGTACGAGGTGGTTTCCAACATTCCCAAAGCATCCGAAGAATTAGAGGAGCGCGAAAGTCTCGCGCAAATCGCCGCCACCGGCGAAGAAGCGAGCGCGGCCGACGGAGAGACCTATATAGGTATAATGATCTTTATTGCGTTTGACATAAGATATATAGTTGCGACACTCAATACATAGCAAATGAAATAATTAAGTTTTCAAATGTAGAAAGAATCCTAAAGATGATTGCACATATATCCGCATCGTACTAAGATTTGCGTGCGGCGTGGCTCGAAAGTGCGAGGCTATCAGGAATTCGGCGCGTGCTTAAATGTTTAATCACCTCAATTGTTTAATTTTAGTTTCACAGATTTTTCAAACTTCAATCGATTTTAAAATATGTCACCGTACAGAGTTGCAATAAAATAATTATCAGGAAAGGTGGTTGATAACTGACCTTTTAAACAATTATTAGCTGTCGTTAGGAATATTTCAATAATAACTCTATATTATCGATATTTATTAGCCTCTTGTTGATGGCGTTTATTCCGCCATGTCGTTATCATTTCTCTTTTTACTGAGTATTTTCATTATCAATTAAAACTTAATTATTTGTAGGTAGAAATGTCATTGATTCGATTATGATTTTCATAGAAAAATACACACGCGGAGTTAGCGCAGTCGAAAGTATACTGACTCTGGACCGACTTCGGCAAAGCGTCGCCGTGAAAGAACTAGAACAAGCGCGCGGCCAACCAATCACAATGAGGAAGACAGCTTCTGTACCAAACTTCTCACAGGTAACCATTTTTCTTTCCTTCATACACACGCAAACGAAATTAGACTTTAAAAGTTTTGATATAGAGTACAGAACTGATAGAAAAGCACATAGTTTCACTGTTCAAACATAGTGTGGTTAGTAAGGTTTTAACAGAGTTTTAATTGTGCAGTTTGGAAGTAAAGATTGTATCAATTTAATAACAATTCTAACACAATTGGTAAACATTAAAATGTTTATTACATGTAAAAATATCCTTTATGCTTATCATATACATTTATAGAACTATTAAATATTATTATTTATCAATGTTTTCTGATATAAAATATCGATGTTGCTTACTAACCATTAAACAAATGCTGTTCAATGTATTTGCAATGAAAAGTTGCGCTTGAAGTTATGAGTTTCTACGAAGCTATTCGATGTGCCCACTAACACAGATCACAGATTACGCTGTCTCCACATAGTAACAGCTAGCTGACAGATTTTTCATAGTCAGTTAACACTTTGTAAATAAAGAGACATTAATTCGCTCACTAACATTAGAAATAACTTGATTTTCTCACGCATTTGATATTCAAACTTAAATAATGGAAATCTTTTCGTTAATTTATTGTCTATGGGAGTGTACGCTCAACGTCATATCATTACTACAATGCTTTAGTTATTGTCCTTAGGACATGAACAAAACACGGAGTATCTAGTCTAAGCTTATTCCTCGTTTATTAATAAGGGGTCATCCATAGAGTACGTCACATTAATTTCGTGATTAATTTTACACCTGCCCAGTCCTTGTCATACTTTGTCACATTTCAGAGCCCCCCCCCCCCTACTCCTCAAGTGTGATATCACACATTTTGCATCTACAAATTATTAAATAAAAACAGCAGCTCCGAAAATTATCCAACAAAACAAATTAAACCCACGCAGTTAGATCTCTATATATTTTTAAATTTTTGATAGTATAACAGTATTATTTAAAAAAGCAACGCCACGAAACTTAGGACCCCTCCTCCCCTTGTCACACAATGTCACACTTCGACGACCTTCTCCAGTACCCTTAATATGTGAGGTACTTTATGGATGATCCCTAAGGAGGTCTGAGTTCGGGGTTAGACTGCTCAATTTATTTAGTTAGAGGTTACCATATGGAAATGCTCTCTAAAGCCAAAGACATAGGGTTGAATATCAAATGCGCGAGTGGCAATAGTCGTCGTCCGCTTGCTAACGTGTGTGTTGTCGCCGGGCGCAGCTGTCCCAAGCGCTCGAGAACGCGGCGAAGAACGGAACCAACGTGAGTTCGAACGCATGGCATCCAAGCACGCTCAATACACCATTATCACTTGACACCCACACCTGTAGAAATATATAGTGAATCGCACTTGCTTATATATATTTTTTAGATTATTATTTTATAGTTTATGAGAAATAGTGATCTCAAACAAATAAATTTCAAATTTGAAAAACAGATCCTTTTTAAATATATCGTAGTTGAAACTTATTTCTTAAGTTAAGTTTTCGCCAATCAGTTTATTGATTAACCAGCGGCCGCCCGCGACTTCGTACGCATGGAGTTAGTTAGAAATAAAGGTTCACTGCTCGTTTCCCGTAGGTGGTAGCGTGATAATATGTAGCCTTTATGTTGACCTGACTTCTTAATAATGTTCGTGCCATAGGACGTGGTAAAGTTTTGTATGAGCGACAGCCCTGGCAATGTATAAATACTGTACTTAGTAATATTTAATGGTAAATGGCTGAATATTTATAATTTCTATGAAAAAAGGCTCAGGAACTTTTGATAAAGTCACAATCTTGAAAATTATGAGAACTCCTACTATGTCATTAGCTACTATATAATACTTTCCTACTATGTCACCTTACTACAGTTGATAAAAGATGTTGCCAATTATTTACAGAGTCATGAATTTCGCATTTTCTTAGAATCTTTCTTCTTATTTCTCTGATTAACTCTTCACAAAAAGTTTTTTTAAAGCAAAAATAAATACAAATAATTTGTTTTTTTTTGTTGAAGTTCTCCCGTTTTAGGGAAGGCAAAGGGAACAATGCCCATACAGCCTGGTCTTTAATTAAATTAATCTTCTTTTTGTTTTTACATTAGAATGTCGGTGTGACGCATTCTAATGTTTCTTGGAGTGTTTGGCACGAAATGTGTCAAGTTGGCTTTTTCGATAAGCTTCTGTGAGGTAGTTAACACTACAATAAAATTCTCACGTCCACTTGACCGGAATAGCGTATATTTTAACGATTCCACTAATTCTTCAGTTACGCAGACAGTTGTTACACAAAACCACACCAATTTTATTTCACAATATCCACTATAAACGAATTTAAGAACAATTAAAATAAGACGCCAACCACACTCGATGAAATCCCGCCAAAAAAAACCAAATAATTTGTTATCGTCGGCCTGACAGGAAATCTGTGAAGTTTTATTTTGACCATTTGCAAAAATTAAAGGATTAATTATCATACAGCCTTGTTTCAAGCCTGATCAGAATAATAAAATCTATTATTTTAGGCCTTCCGTGATTTGTTATAATAAAAATTAGGGCCTAATATGTTTGAAGGAGTTTTGAAATAATATTGTTTATTTCGATATACTTTCACAAATATTTGTTGTGTACATTTATTTTGTAAAACGGAACATTTTGCTTTTGAAACAGACATGAAGTCAATATTTATACTTTTAAATATTTGATTATTTCACGAGAGTTGTATGAGAATAATAAACACGTAATAATTAATAAAAAAATATTGTAAAGTTACGGGCTAGTGCGAAATATTTATACACGTTAAGGGCAGTTTCTTAGCCATGTCCAATTTGAAGTAAATCCATGCAATACTTTTTGAGTTTATCCTGGACATACATACAGACAAAATTTATTCTAAAAATTCTATTTTTGGCTTCGGTATAAAAAAATATTCAATGTACAGTTTTGACTTTCCTACCATTTTATTATATGTTCAATAAATGATGCTTAATCTGTAATATCTTTGTTTTTGACTTGTGAACATTATAGAACTTAGACAATAAAATAGATAAATTTATTGCCACCGAAGTCATTTTATTACTGTTACCAACTTCAAATTTTTTACTGTTGGAAGTTGTAATTGATTCTTTCACTTTTTTACTCTCGTCATTGTTAATAAACTTTGTTTTTGTCTTCAGGGATAGGGTTCTATTTTTAGCTCCTGATGGGATTTTATGTTCTTAGGCTTTTATAAAATGGTGTCGCTTCCTTTCAGTTAGTAACTGTAGCATACTTTGTAATTGTTCAATGTTTATCGTTACTTACAGAAACATTTAATTTCAGCATTTTTTTTGCCAGTCGAATGTTGTTCCATTGCATATAAATCTTGAGACGCCAAACCCAAACCAACGCCAAATTAGTTTATTAAAAAATATGCTTTGATTTATGTTTGCGTTATATTCTGTTACTTTAAATTAATTTAAAGTAGCTAAATACAGTTAGTTTAAAGTTTTAGTTATATTATTAGAACTAGGATAAGTATAACTATTAGAAATAAATGAATGAATTTAAATGTTGTTTCCGGATGTTTTAATTTAATTGATGTTTTGAATGAATGAGTTTATGTTAACTATGTTTTAAACGTTACCTTGCCTATTTCATAATGAGAATGGAACCTATCTACCCTTTAATGTTATTCGTTGGAGCTGGGTTACACAAACTGGTCTTACAGAGTTAACTACTTTGTATGAGTCACGTGGGTTTCACGAAATTTATAATAAATATACATTATCTATTGCACCAAAAATCTCATTTTCAAATCCAATTAACGGTGGCACTTCTATACTCTATGGGTTAGCAAAATATCTATATAGGGTGGAATTTAAATTGCACTGAATCTTTATTCATGTATCTTGTAGGACAAGGTTTACTTATAAAATAATTAAATTTAAAATTCCTATTTTTAATGGATTTATTGAATAAGAAAATTTCTGATCAAAACATAAATTCAAATAGTAATTTTTAACTAAACAAGTGTTGCATTTATTTTATTCATGAGCGTATTCAATGCTGTTGACAAAATTGATTGAAATAGAATTACCTGTGATGCTAATAAATTAACAAGTAATATTATGTCACATGGATTACATTTATTTCCATTAAATTGCAGTAACAATATAATTACATTAAAAGTTTATTATTTTTATGTACATACATAATGAACGAAGTTGCTCAGTTGCAGCCTAAATTAAGAATTTATTCAAATTTAAGCATCGAATTAGAAATGTTATGTAGGCAGGTATTACTCTCCAACCACCGCTAAAACATGGTACCAAACTTATACAGCTAAGTTCATTGGGTCAGATAATGTTAAACGGTAATCCCATACAAACATCCAACCCTCTTACAACCTGGGATCCTTTAAAAGAGGCGTGAAGAAGCAACATGCAGGCCGGCAGGGTGAGGATGGCTGGTGTGGCAGGTAGAACTGCTGTATCAGCTATCTTCGCGTCTGGACTTCACCTTCACTTAACATCAGGTGGGGTGGAGTCATTTGTCGGACCTACCTATAAAAAAAAATACCTGCCCACGTGATCGCAGTTTGCGTGGAATCACTTTATACCGCAGACCGTATTACACATTATTTCCAATTATTTGAATTTAAGAGCTTATGTCCGAACATGCAATAAAGATCATAATTATGTCCCGATATAGATAATGCGCTTGGATTCCTCGTTGGAATGCCTAGCGGGTCTAGCGGGCGGTCGATCGGGCAGCGTGGCGGATCTAGCCGACGAAGCGCCGCGTCGGCCCGTCCACCGCCACTCTTACGCTGCGCCCGCTCACGGGGACCCGGAAATAGCGACGCCTACCAAACCATTCGGATTAGGTAAGTTTATAGATAAATTTGGAGATAAACTGTGACTTGTGCCTTAAGAAAATATGTGCCAACAACTGCTCCTCAGATTATTTTATCTGAAATGCATTGGTTCCTGCTATTTATTGTCAACTTTAACAGATTTTAAAATTCGGTATACATTTTTTTTTAATCTGACAACATTACAACCATTTGACAACTCTGTCAAATAATTACAATTTTAGACAGCGAAAGCCAGCTGCTGTTCTGACTGTAAAGGAAATAAATAATGAATTATTCGTTAGAAACTACGTCTTCAGGCACAAGATTTTTCAGACAAAAGTTCTATAATATATTAGAAATTATTCTTCTCTTGTTATAATATAAGTGAAACTTAACAATGTAATAGTAATCGTTCTTTTTCTTACAGTATTATATTCTACAAATGATACACTCCTTTTTCCAATACATATTCATCTCTTATTTCTCCGTCATTTCATACGTATCACAAAGTGAATCAAGTTCGCACATTTGCATCAATAGCTTATGAGTTATATTACATTACAACATATATTATGTACAAATAAGTATTATGTTATGATATACAGATTATGCGGTATTTAGACGAGATTGCACAGAGTAGTCTGGTATTTCATGAAAATCTTAGCAGATAGTATCAATTTATATATGATGCACGATTTTATAGAATAGGTATTTAGTATAGTTTTGAATTGACAGAAATATTATTTTTATTAATATTAAATAGAGTATACAATTGATTGAGTACTGAACAAGAGAAAAATCATTCAGAAATCAATTAGTAGGCAGATCACATCCACTAAAATCATATCAAATATACTACATCCACTTCTGCATTAATTCACGATTACATTTTTATTTCAACTTGCTTTGTGGCAATGCTATGGCTCAATCAAACTATCTCTATCTTTGCCCCATTTCTTCTCTTTCACTTTCTGAAGTATCTTCGGGTATTTTAAATTTATCTCTTCCTAATATAAACTTTACACGTATTACTGGAGACATTCTGTTTATTTAAATGGTATTCTGATAACATTATGTTTACAATATGTTTTGTTCTCAAGGTGTCATTAAAATAAGCCTATTTGTAAACTCTTGTTTATTCGAATTCCATTTATGCACTAAAGTTTGACAAAAAAAAATTGGTATCGTACATTTGACATTCGGTTTGAACTAACTCTGTATTTTCTTTATCTCGAACCCCCGCTACCTTCAGGCTCGTTCCTATCAGGTAAACAGAGCAAACAATATGGTCTTGATTCGGAATGGCAATGTATGGCGAAATTATTAGACGAATGTTTAATGCAACATGAATAATGGAATTCCATAGATGTGTTGTGATTATTGCTACTTGACGACATCATATCTTCAGTGAATTGGCTGTTATTATCTGACATCTGTCAAAAGGCTTTAGTGCAGTATCTCGCGCAAGGCGCACTTTAATTTTACAATTTCTTCGAAAGTTTGAAGACCTTGAATCTTTTTTTAAGCTATCTTTTTACGATGTCACAATTTAATTAATCATCAAACTTAGATCGAATTTAAATTTAGAGCAAGACTTTCTTGTCTCATAATCGAACTTTCGAGGTATTTCTGACAAATTTTAAACTCTTATCGAAGCATAAGTAAATGTGCTTAGTGAGTGCACTTAAGCCGGCAGAAAGTATATAGAAAAGAAACTGTACCTTTTCAGCTACAATTGTGATTAGAAACAAAATTATACTCTATGTAATTATACCCTAATTGGCAAGTAATGTGGAAAACATACCTACAAGCTTCCGGCATCGGGCTAGCTTCTGTTGTTGTGTTATCTATCTGTTTGTTTGCGTGTATCTTTCATTTGCATGAACCAAGCATGCCCTGTATTTATCCTCCTTTCCTTTCCTCTTCGTTGATATATTGCTATCAAAAGCAATGCTTTGGGTAATAGATAAATGAAAAAAAGACTGCTTTAGATTTCTATCCTAATGGTTATAAAAGAATTTATAGGTCTATGCGAAACAGGCAAAAAATAATATTATCCTTTAAATTACTGCAATGAGGATTAAAATGTAAAAATAGTTAATATTTTATAAGCAGCTACCGTCCGTACAAGTAGATAATGTGACGTAGAATAGATTCAAAAATAAAAATCTTAGGTTTATGTGTATGTGTTAGGTAATGAATGCATGATAATATAATGTAGCGTGCAACTCAGTATTTTAAGATATGAAATGTTTCCAATATTCGTATTTAAGGAAAGCATGGACTATAGAAGTAAAGTTGTCTATGATAATGTAATTGTTGGTCTGTTCGTATTATGCATAAATTGTGCAATAAGTATTAATAGTTGATAATAGTTGGTTGTGTTGTGTAGGCCACTGAAATAATATTTAGTATTTTGCACTATTTCCTTTGTGAATTTAATAAACAAATCCAGGGTTAACTTGTGTTTTCGGAGTGTATCCAAAATTAGTTGTTATCAATATTAAAATATTATTATCATCAAAAGGAAAAAAGATATTTTAAATACAACTATTTTAAACCTGAGTCTTTGATTGATGGTATAAAAATTTTTTTGGGTAAATTCTTTTGCACAGTCATGGTTACGACAGTGGATACATTTACAATACGATGAACCCTCTTGTTGTTACATAATGAAGGCGCTGTCACTGTCAAATTGCATCCAAGGACTCATCCGTGACAGTACAAAAAAATACATCGAGATGTTGCTATGTTTTGAGGGTGTGAGATTGCCCTTGTAGTAATATAAAAATTACTGCAGGATTATAAATGAAGGTTGTATTCATTTTGTGAACAAATTTTGGGTTTTTGCATAGTCATAGGTGAGATTTTGTTCTAACAGAAATGGTGTTGTGCTGACAGATTAATGAATATGTTCTATTTCAGCGCGGCCAACGTTCCTAAACTTGAATTTGAACCTGAACTCGCTGCGACTACAGACTCCGAACAAGTGTACGTCCGCTATTCCACCGTAGCATCATTAGTTTGGCTTGTTGTAACAGTTTTGGTTTCTTTTTTCTTTTGATTTTGGTTTGTTGTGACTTCCGTTTGATATAATACGCTAGGGTTTCACAATGTTCGATGATCTATGTGGACGAATTTGGAAAACTGTATCGACTCCTACATAATTATTATTTTAGATATTATTGAGGAATCACAGTTAAATTTTTATACTTTGCAATATTTTGTGTTTAACAGTTGTAAGAGTTAAATTGTCATTAAAGCTTATAAAAGTAGGCCCCTCTACATTTATGAGATAATGGGTAAAGAACTATGAACTATTAAGATATAATAAAAACCGATCTTCGCCTAACTTTTACACATTAAAATTTTTTTTTTTTAAATATTGTTTTTCTTTACTGACAACACATTTTAAAAGTTGCCGCATTTTTACCCGACTGCGCACGCAAGCAACGTGAAGCGCGACGCTCAGATAGGGTATTGTGTTTAATAGTCTATATTTATATGAAACGGAATGAAGTTTAAAACGAGGGTGATTTTTCTTGATATTTGGTTGTTTTTATTTTGCTTCACATGATGATTCATCTCACGCATGCTCCTCATTCGAGGCGACAAGTATTTTTTTCATTAAACCTTCGTTCTATTGAACTATGGGGGTTTCATTTCATTTGGACGAATGTTCTACGTTTGTTCAATCAAGACTAAAATTTAAAAAATACCGAACGAATTATGTTCGTCTAATATGTATTATTTTTGATAAATCAGCGTTTAAAGGAAGGTTAAATTCGATTAAATCAAGGTTTATTTTTGCAAATAATTTCTTTGTTATACATATTTTAATCTTTTAACGTATTGAAGACGAAAGGACAATCTCGTTGTTTTCTTTTTCTAAAATAGCTATCACTTGAGTATTGTGCAAGGTCTTAAAAAGGGTCCTTAAAAATCATCTGACCCGATACCTAGAAGACCACTCCACCACCACTCCCTGAGGCCAAAGTACGAATTTTGACAGTAATTGTATCGCATCAGTTTCTTATGAAAACTAAGTACCAGACGTACGTAAGAATAAAGTGGTTCCTTCCATACAAAATTTGACAATGACGTTTAAAGCTCATTGATATTATTTAAGTAGATGTCACCACTATCTTCTGAGTATCACAGATAGATTTATTCACGTTTAATACTGTTTTTTGTTACTTTATTTTATTTACAAATTTACATTCAATGCTGTCAAACACGATTTCTATATTTTTTGTATTGAACTATAGCGTAAAAGAAAAAAAAATATAAAAAAATTGTCGACACCATATATTTTTGGTTGATATTTTGTTATGCATTAATTTGTATTCTACATTTATTTAGCACTATAATTTCCTTGCTAATGAAATATTTAAGCATTTTATTTGTATTTTAAAAAGTAGAACAACCACTTGATATTGTTAATTAATAATAGTTATGATTTTATTACTTTTCTTAGAAAAAAGCTATCATTTGTATTTGTTTGTAGGTACACATTTTCACTTCTAGTTTTATTACCGTTGCTGAGATGCACGCCACTTTGAACCTTAAAGCTGACGGAACAAACGTGATTACAGCGTCCCCCGCGAGCGGCAAGCTAGGGCTGCGCATGACCACGCTGCACGAAGAGCCGGGCCGCAGAAACGACGACGACTCACATTCGGAGCCCGAGTCCGCCCCCACAGACGATATGTCTACGCCTCGGTCACATGTAGGTTAAATTTTTTTTTTAAACTTTGTGTTATGATTGTATTATACGTAGCGAACATGTTACTTTTACGATTGATAGATTCATGTTGCCTCATCTATGAGATCTATGAGATTGATTACTGAGACCAACGATATTAAATACCTAGATACACCAACACGAACAAAATCGAGCCCGAAACCTGTCCAAAAGGTACATCGAACGATCCACGGAGCTCCGTAAGATCATCGCGTAGTCAAAATCACTATAAGGCATTATTTAAATATTGAAAGTAACCTTTAATACATACTGCACAAGGTCTTAAATAAAACGCATGCGTCAAGGACTTCTGACAGTTCGAAAAAAATATGCGGAAGAATTTTGACCTTAGTTCTTTGTCTCTACGCGCAATTCTGAACGCGCTGTTAGCAATATAGCAGGCACGGATCGCGAGGAAAAGAGACGGTTATATGGCGACGTATAACCGACCATGCATTTGAATAACACAAATATTGTATATTAAATCAGTTTATAGTAAGTACTAGATCAAAATTTACTTCAAATGCGTTAAATTAACAAACATTGATTGACCTGTCGAAAAAACGACACTTTTCGTACTCTTAAGTATTATTTTCGCATTTTATCAGCTCTGTGGCATCTTGACTTTGTAACGGTCCGCGCGTGACTGTGAACCAAGAAGTGCTTGAGTAGAGTTCAAGCACTTCTTGATTGGGACACATTTTGAGCGCTTGTGGTGTATCTAGGGTATTTAATATCGTTGACTGAGACACATAAAGAGAGGTAGGGCATAGCGGATTTTCCGCTCGATTTGGAGTGCCCGTTTAAGGAAGCAACCACCACCTTACAGAAGACCACACTAAAATAACACTGCTTTTTGGTGGCGTTGTGTTTTTGTCAGTAAGTTAGGTTCCAGGGCTTCACGGGGTGGGGAATTGGGTTAGGGTAGGCAACGGTGCAAGTGAAATTTCAAGCAAGTGTCTCAAGCAAGTGGCCGCTTACCATCCAGGCAGCACATATATTTGCTTGGCACCCTTCTAACTTAAAAAAAATGTAACAACTGAAAGACTAAAACGCTCATTTTTAATAGAGATAGTCATAGAGAAGATGTTTGTATTATGTACGAGCTACCTGGTGTTTATTCATCTTTAGTTAAGAATCGTGTATTCTTTTGAGGAGTCCAGGAGAATCACCATATAAAAAGTGGTATTCTACAGATTACTTTTCTAAAAAGGTACATATTACCTTCTTATACACAACCAAAGCCACAACTGACATTGGTTGGAATTAAGTTATTGTAACTTAGCCAGTTCAAAGTCTGTTATTTTGGAACTGCGCTTTAATAGTTCATAAAGTTATTGAAATATTTGACAATTAGCCAGTTTATTGCCTATTGTTTCCGCAACTGCGCTATTAAATACATTGTGGTCTATTTGTATAGCGCACACGGTCGCGAGCGACTCCTCGCGGTTTCCTGCCGACATCGAAAACGCTGGATTCCCTCCACGAGCTGGCGTGCGAACGAGCACCAAACAAGAACTCCCCTTCCATATCGTCCAGTGGATACGGTCAGTGTTTTTCTACTTAAATCTGTGTATTATATTTTATTTATAAATAACTAGCGGCCGCCCGCGTCTTCGTACGCGTTGAGTTAGTTATTTGCACATACTTTTTGACCCCTGTTCACTGCTCGTTCCCCGTAGGTGATAGCGTGATAATATGTAGCCCATATTTTGACCCGACTTCTTAATAATATTCGTGCCAAATTTGAATTAAATTCATGCAATACTTTTTGAGTTTGTTCCGGACATACATACAGACAAACAAACAAAAATTCTAAAAACTATATTTTTGGATTCGGTTTCCATTGTAGATCACACCCCAAGTATTCTTTAAAAAAAAATATGCAATACACAGTTTTGACTTTCCTACTATTTTATTATATGTATAGAAGACAGTTGACACTATTATAATGGGAGTATTTTTAATTTTGCATCACGTTTATAGGTCATGAATGACGAACTAGTAATAATATTATATTGTCAATTAGCGAACATTGTCAAATAAATTTGATTATCGCGACTGAAACTGAGTGCAAAGGCTAATAAAGTTGTCTTACAATAAATACCTTCCTAACCTAAATTAATACCTTCTATTTAAATTTAATCAATAAGTAGCTTCCCCACCTTCAACTCATAGTATATTAGGACTCAATATATTCATTTAAATTACATATCTCAGATTTTTATAATACTCATCTAAGTTTGAAGAAAGAAAATCATTAACAATTTAACTTCAATCCAGGTTCCCAAGCGGTATCATCGACCAATCTAACCAACGACGATACACTCTCGATAAGGAGCATGTCCGTGGACGACACTCCAGACTTCGACAGAACCATCGAGTGCACACAACTCAGTCGGACCAAAAACTCCGTCGCGGGCTTACGTAGCGAGATCACAGAACTGAGAAACGACATCACAGAACTTAAAAACGAGATAGTAGAATCAAAGAACGAGCTGGACGATACTAGTTTCGAGAAGGCGAGAACTCCAGTCCTGACACCGGGCTCTAGAAATAGAATTAACCCGTTTTTAAGGGAATGCGAGGACGCCGAGAACGAGTCCGCCGACCGGTCATCGGATCAGTCTGCGGATGTGTTGGTCGACCCGTTGGGAGCTTTGCCCGTTGAAAGCCACACCCTGTCTAGTCAGTTGAACAAGGGTGTCGCCGAAATGCATATGAACGGAGAGGGCCCCCATGAGTCGTCGTTCGGTAAGTAAAATATTGTCTTCTTTAATTTATTGGAATAACAATTTTTTTATGCATTATAAAAGCTTTTTGGGTTACTGTCGGTCGACTGAGTTTTCCAAAAATAAATCAAATTTGTTTGGTATATTTAATTAGTAAGAACTAAGGTCCATCTGCAGCAAATTTGCTTTATCTCAATTTAACTGAAACTAGATGTAGCCCATAGTTTTGTAATTTTTCTCTGGGTTCTATCTAGTTTTAGCTGAATCGAGATTTAGAAAATTTGCTGCAAGTGGGCCTAAGTAATATAAAGGCAAATTCTTAATTAACTACGAAAGTACTTCCCATATAGGAAAACAGATCACAGTAAATTACACTTCTTTTCGGCAGTGTTTTATTTTTGTCGATCAGCAATGTTCTTAGGCTCCATATAGCAGGGGTTGTTGTGAGCAATTTCAGCTCAGTTTTAGTTCAGTGACATAAGACTAAAGCATAGAAAGAGTTTAGATATAATTCAAAAAGTCGATTCATAAAGTTAGTTATCTTATTTTTACATTTAGACCAGAAAAGAGTCAAATATACATTTATTTGTCTCTTTTCGTTGCTATGAACAGCGTGCGTACCACTGTACAAACGTCAAATTGGATATCATTGTCCATAGTGCGCCTTGTGGATGTATGTGATGACCGTGGTTACCTTTACGATACCGAATCAAAAAGAGATCTATACTTCGACTTTTTAGCTGCAGACATTAGCTGCAGTAAAATGACGTTTCAAAATGTCATTCCGTAAAATAATGTTGACCGCCTAATTTCAATAGGGATTTGATTAGGTTACCAGAAAATGTAATCGTTTCATAACTAACTCATAATGATCATACTTAATTCTATTTATTATTCATATAAATAAAAGGCTGTATAAAATCTCAAGTTGGTACTGGTTTTTAGTTACGGTGCTACGATGAGGCTTGTCCGCCTTTTTATTTCATTTGTCATTCGCTCATTCGGCTTCTAACTTCTGTTTTGAGTGGACGAATAACTTTGCTTTGCCCACGGCGAGTTGTTTTAGTTATCATTATTGTTAATTTTTTGTTACGTTATGTTTGTTTTTCGTTACCTACTTTTTCTTAATCGTGTCAGCTTTTTTTTGTTTGTTACATCGAAGGCATGGATGCTCAGTTGAGCATATCCCAAGATGGAGATACATTTCTATCTCCTAAGAAAAAAAGGCCACGTGTAGCTCTTAGTGCAACCGAGAAACTTTGGGTCAGAAACGTTTACAAATATGTGTTTGAATAGGAATTTAGTACCCCAAAACCTCCCGAAAAACCGGGCCCAAAACTTATATTTAAAGAAAAACTTGATGATTTCACATTCACCGCTATTGGACGAATTGTACATCAGTTCTTTCATAGAAATGAAGTACCCACCATCGCAAAGTTTAGTTTACCTGTCATCATTAATCTTTTTAATATACGTTAGGTATAATATGTTTTCTCCCACCCCATGTGGAATTTTAACCAATTAGATTCAAGAGTGGCTGACCACTAAAAATATTACATTTGAACCAAATATAGTGAAGGCCACTCTCATAGATATTGTGAAACAACAAAATCATACTGAGAAATAAGCCGTGGACGAGATTGCTGCATAAAAAGGTATCAGACTTTTAAGACTGCCCCCTTATCACTGTGAATTGAACCCCATCGAGTTGGTTTGGGCTCAGGTAAAGGGGCACGTCGCAAACATTAATAAAACATATAAAATGCAACTTTATTCCAAGAAGGAATCAACAAAGTGACACCGGTTAAGTGGAGTGACTGTGTGTCTAACACTATAAAAGAGGAAGACAAAATGTGCCACCTCGATCATATTATTGATGAAATGACAGACAGATTTGTCATTAGTGTGACCGAAAGCGACAGCGATAGTGATTCCGAAAATATTTGATTAATAAATAACATTATTATGACTTTTTGTTTAATTTTGGATGTACGTCCCGATACTTCCAATGAAAAAGATCAATCCTTTACTATAGTACTAATAATAGAATAAAAAATCATTACAACTTAATATTAAATCTCTTAAACGTAACCAAACTGATCATTCATTTATTGAATGATTCACTTACTCACTTAGCTACATCCATATTTATATTTCTTCAAAAAGCGGTAACCCACAAAACGTCATTTTACTGCAGCTAATAAAAAGTTCTACTTTAATGCCAAATGCAATCTGCCAACACGCCACGAATACATACGCCATTAAGTTTAATTCGCACTATATACACGTTGCAAGGCATTATTTTTTGTTACCCATGGCCGTGGCCGTTATAAGTATAAAGTACGAATCATACTCTACGTAAACGTGTTCGTATCGCAGGGGAAGCAGAAGTGGAGTCAGTAAGCTCTGAACAGTCGAGCCACGACGCGGAACGCAGCCGCGAGGCTTCGTCCGTAGGGGAGAGCGACTCAGCCTCCCCGGGCCCCGACCACGGGCCAGTGCGGCCTCAGTTGCCCGCCGGGAAGGTGACGTATCCTACTTCTTACTAATATTATGGATGATGTGAAAGTTTGTATGTTTGTTTCGTCTCAATCACGCAAAAACTATCGGAACGGATTTGGATGAAATTTGGTACGCATTTAGTTTATGACCTGGATTTAGACATAGGATACATTTTATCCTGGAAAAATGTTAGGTTCTTCTGGGATTCTCAGAAAAGTAAAGTCGCGGTCGGCTGTTAGTCCTACTAATGCCACTGCGGCCGCAGCTGCCCGCCGGGAAGGTGCCGTATATATCTATATCGCGGGGGCACAGGAAGCGGGGGGGAATGAATACTAAACTGAACATTCGAGCCACGACGTAAGAGAGCCACTCCGCGTCCCCGGGCCCCGTTCACGGGTCCGTGCGGACCCAGCTGTCTGTCGGGAAGGTGCCGTATGAGTCGGTAGTCATTTGGGACCGAGACCACGAGGCACAGAAAGCGGGGGGGGGGGGGGGGGGGGTAATGAATACTAAACTGAACATTCGAGCCACGACGTAAGAGAGCCACTCCGCGTCCCCGGGCCCCGTTCACGGGTCCGTGCGGATCCATCTATATCGCGGGGGCGCGGGTAGGGGGGGATACTAAACTGAACATTCGAGCTACGACGCGGAACGCAGCCGCAAGGCTTTGTCCGCGGGCACCGACTACGAGCCTGGCTCCAGTTGTCCGCCGGTAATGTGACGTATTATATATCTATATCGCGGGGGCGCTGGGGGGCACTCAGTTCACCATAGGGGAGAGCACTCGGCATCCCAGGAAGGTGCCGTAGTCTGAAGTTTTGAATCCATTGTTTTGCCTGGTATTATGATTTCCATAGTACAAGTTCGGTTTAGTTGGATATCATTACACATAGTAAATGTAATGAGTGACAATCACTCGAAATTGCCAACTTTCTAGAAAGAGAGATAGCAATGGTGCCTGCTCATACGAATTACTAACCATCGCTTCATCTTTTTCTCAGTCTTTTCTGTCCAGTTTTACTGGAATGTTGGTCAGAGAAAGCTTAGTCCATAAAATTCAAAATCGTTTATTCAGTCTAGGCTATTACAAGCACTTGTGAATGTCGAAAAGCTACGCCATCGGTTCGCAACTCTACAGCAGGAAACCTTGTACTGAGAAGAACTGGCAAGAAACTTAGCAAGGGATTATGTTTTTATTTATTTTTAAGCATTTAACTGCTAGATGTTTAAATCTAAAGAAAAGTTTACTAGAAAAAAATCCACGCGGACCAGGCAGCGGACGGGTTTTTTTTCTAGTAAACTTTTCTTTAGATTAGCAAGGGCGGTTCTTTTCTCCCTGTTTTATTTCATACAGTGTCGTCTAATTGAAAGTTGACATCAAATCCGCAAACATGTGTTGAGGTCAACTTCCATCACAAAATGTCAAATATGTAGCAATAGATAAATCAACGAATCCACCAATAATAAGTGTAAAGAAATGTCCCAAAATAGCAAGAAACAATCTCCAAACTCGTCATACTCTGTCTATGTTTGGACTAAATAATTGATTTGGTTTGTCCGTAACTGTAAGAAGAATATAATTTTGTGAACAGGTGGTGAGGAGACGTGCGGGTGGAGGGAGGGGTAGAGGGGCGAGGCCGCGGTCTGCCATAGAGACGAGCACTACGCCCCCCACTCACAAGAACTTGCGCGATACTCCCGCCTCTTCCACCGAGCGTATTGTCGATGGTAAGTCGAAAAACAAATTCAATAATCGGCTATGACTTTTGGTCGCGTCCAAATCGTTAGTGTTTGGAATAGGAGCTAGTAAGGTTTTTGAAGAGAATGATGATGAACAATATGCTGGACTGTATTTATATATGAATATAATGCTCAAAGGTACAATAGTAAGCTCCCGACAATATATGTACGCGAGGAGTCCACAGCGGTTCTGAGGAAAGTGGGAGAGAGCGGCAGCGCAGACACCGCGGACCTCCTCCCGCAGTCATCCTCTCGAGCTGCCCCACTTACCTCGGCCAATGTTGCGTTCACCAGTTTCTAATGACGGAAGAAAAAATCTGCGGCTATGCATGGTGTGGAGGTGATCGTACAAAAGGGCAGAAAATACGAAAAAGAAATATTTGAGCGCGTCTGGCATTGAGAAGGGGACCCTTCAGTATCTATGAACTCTTACTATTAGATGAGGCGCACATGTACGATTACCTAATTCTGTGTCCTAGTCGGGAATTTAGATTTTCCGTGAGCCTAGAGCAGACGTTTCAGTTTTTAGTTTGTTACAGTCCGAAACGAAAGTCATGTTTTTACTTTTCTACAAAAAATAAGAATAGTGTGCACCTCGTTGAACGTTTTGTAAGGACGTGCATTCACTTGTTGAGTTTGCTTCCAGACGATTCGTCAGAGAGCGGTCGCGCGATCACAGTACCCGAGTGGATGACCGTAGGGGAATGCGTATCGCTGCGACTCAGCAACAGCACGGGCGTGGTGGCGTACGTAGGGCCCACGCACTTCGCGCACGGGCCCTGGGTGGGGGTCGCCCTGGACGCGCCCACCGGTCAGTATGTGTCGCACAACCAGGGCCGGCTGTAAGGCAGAATGCGGGACGCTGCGGCTCGGCAACAGCACGGGCGTGGTGGCGTACGTGGGGCCCACGCACTTCGCGCACGGGCCCTGGGTGGGGGTCGCCATGGACGCGCCCACCGGTCAGTATGTGTCGCACAACCAGGGCCGGCTGTAAGGCAGAATGCGGGACGCTGCGGCTCGGCAACAGCACGGGCGTGGTGGCGTACGTGGGGCCCACGCACTTCGCGCACGGGCCCTGGGTGGGGGTCGCCATGGACGCGCCCACCGGTCAGTATGTGTCGCACAACCAGGGCCGACTGTAAAGCAGAATGCGGGACGCTGCGGTTCAGCAACAGCACGGGCGTGGTGGCGTACGTGGGGCCCACGCACTTCGCGCACGGGCCCTGGGTGGGGGTCGCCATGGACGCGCCCACCGGTCAGTATGTGTCGCACAACCAGGGCCGGCTGTAAGGCAGAATGCGGGACGCTGCGGCTCAGCAACAGCACGGGCGTGGTGGCGTACGTGGGGCCCACGCACTTCGCGCACGGGCCCTGGGTGGGGGTCGCCCTGGACGCGCCCACCGGTCAGTATGTGTCGCACAACCAGGGCCGGCTGTAAGGCAGAATGCGGGACGCTGCGGCTCAGCAACAGCACGGGCGTGGTGGCGTACGTGGGGCCCACGCACTTCGCGCACGGGCCCTGGGTGGGGGTCGCCCTGGACGCGCCCACCGGTCAGTATGTGTCGCACAACCAGGGCCGACTGTAAGGCAGAATGCGGGGCTCTGCGGTTCAGCAACAGCACGGGCGTGGTGGCGTACGTGGGGCCCACGCACTTCGCGCACGGGCCCTGGGTGGGGGTCGCCCTGGACGCGCCCACCGGTCAGTATGTGTCGCACAACCAGGGCCGGCTGTAAGGCAGAATGCGGGGCGCTGCGGCTCAGCAACAGCACGGGCGTGGTGGCGTACGTGGGGCCCACGCACTTCGCGCACGGGCCCTGGGTGGGGGTCGCCATGGACGCGCCCACCGGTCAGTATGTGTCGCACAACCAGGGCCGGCTGTAAGGCAGAATGCGGGGCGCTGCGGTTCAGCAACAGCACGGGCGTGGTGGCGTACGCCCGAACGAAGAGTTCTAGTCTATTTATTATACTAACTATGAACTAGCGGCCGCCCGCGACTTGGTTCCCGACAACTTTAGTGTTCTGACAATCCCACAGAAACCTTACAATTTTCCGAGATAAAAAGTATTATATGTCTCTTTCCAGCTTATAAGTCTGCAAATTTTCATCTAAATCTCTTAAGTCCTTTTTCTGTGATTGAGTATCAAACAGGCATACATAGAAACTTTCACATTTATAATATTATAGTAGGATTCGAAAGTGAGTTTGTTTGTTACTCAATCATGCAAAAACGGCTGAACGGATTTATTGAAATTTGGCGCACATCATTTATTACTTGTATTGAGACATACGATACTTTTTATTCCAATAAATGTGATGTTCCTGAGGAATTCTCAAAAACTAAAGTTAACAAGGACGAATTCGCGATCGGCCGCTAGTACTTTATAAATTAGCAAGTCGTATTTGTTTCTTAGGTTTTCACGCATATCACTCATTAAATAAAAATAAAACTAGTTTTTTACGGATTAATGCACGAAACTTTATTTATTTATTGACGTTTCGTAGCCTTTACAGGCTACGTCGTCAGAATTAAATTTTATTTAATTTTGTCGAGCTACCTTCGAAAGACTTTTATTGAGCGTTCGGTTATTTCATTGTACAATTTTTAAAATTTTATTGTCTATGTATGAATTTATTACTTAATTTAGTTAATAAAGTACTTTATTTAAAAATTCTTTTTTGTAATTTTGAGTTTATTTATTTGACCCTAACTACCATCAACTACCACCGGTTCCAAAATTGGGAGACCTTTCTGAGAAGAACCGGCGAAACAAACTCAAGAGAGTCGTGTTAAGAGTTCTATTTATTATTCGTTTTTATCTGGTGTCGTTTCTGTCGTGATTCTCTAAACCTAAACTTAAATTTGACAACAGTGTATCCGTCTCATTCCTTATACAGAATTTAAAGGAGGCACTGATGTTGAATTTAGTTTTAAGTTTCGCAAAAGCATGCCAGAATTGATACCAATATCGACGCGGACCAGGCAGCAGACGGGACTCGAAACCGTAGTTTTTTTTCTTGTAATATTTGCTTTAGATTTAAACATCGAGCAGTTACAGGCTTAAAAAATAAAAATTACAACCAATATCCAATTAATTTGATTGTGCAGGCAAGAACGACGGCTCGGTAGGCGGCACGCGGTACTTCGAGTGTCGCGCGCGGCACGGCATCTTCGTGCGGCCCGACAAGCTGGCGCAGGACCGCCGCGGCCGCAGCGCGCGCGCCTTCCGCGAGGCCGAGCGGGAACGCGCCGCCAGCAAGGGTGAGTATAAGCACAGTATAGAACAGTAATACATCTTCATACAAACTGGCCGCTGCCCATTAGAATGTGTGCTTTCGTACTCGGCGCCGTGTAGGCACGCACTGTGACGCACACATTGACATAAAATACGGGTGCATAAGGTTGCGGCAGTCTGGGTCGTGTGTTTGGTGTTATCGCGCGTGTACAAGGTGATTGCATGTTCGCTCGTTGCTCGTTCCCGCCCGGCACGTTCGCGCTCGCAGCCGTCGCTTTAGTTTTTAGCGCAATTTGATATTAAATTAAATAAATGCAGGTGTTTCACAAAGAGTTCTAAAAGGACCACACAAACATTAAAATCGGCACCTGCCTATGCTTCCCTATAAGCTTTTTGAAAAAGTTGTACTTATATAAGAATGAGAATTTATTTTACTTTGTCTGGAATAAAGCGTTCTAAACATAAAAATTAAATAAACTTTTATTTATACCTCATATTATTATAATATAATATAATTTATATTCGTATATTTTATTTTATTTTTTATTTTATTTATTCGGTATACATAACATGTTACAATCAGCAAAGTACTAACTTATAAATTGAGGAATCGATCAAGATTGCAACACTTATCATCCATACACAAAAAAATTCGTTATATAAAACAAAGGACAATATATCGATATAACCTGTTACAGTGCATTAAATTAAATTCATTCAAATAAAAACAAAATGAATACTATAAATTAGATAAAATTAGTTACAATTGATTTAAATATATTACATTAATGAAATTATATTAAATAAGATATTATCAAGTACATACCGTAAGTGAGGATTACTTTAGCTCGGGCGGGTAACTTTGTCCCAAATCAGAAAAAAAATTAAACTTGCCGCCCCATCGGTATCTCTTGGGTGACCGTAATAGTTCCAGTTGAAAATCACAGATAGCCATATAGGCGCGTAGTGTGGTGTTGTTTTACCGACATCGTTCCTGTATCAAGTTGTCATTGTAACGCGGGATTTTTTGTAACTGAAATAGTTCGCAAGTTCATGCGCAAACTTTCTCAAAACTGTGGTTTTCGGTAAGTTTACTAATTTTTATTTAACTTAATTATTTTTGGGCAAAAACATCCATTTATGTATTCAGTATGCTAATGGTGATCTGTTATAATTGTTACTTAACCCCAACATGGCTTAAAATGAGTTTTTTCACAGAGAAAACTTAACGAGCTAAAGTAACCCTCTTTAAGGCCAACTTTGGCCCAAAATTAAAAAAATATTTATTAACCCCTAAATATTATTTTTTCCTATTTTCGTATGATAACTTTGTAACTTATACTTTAAAGTTCACAATGGAAAGATATAAACGTGACATATTCATCACAAAGAGAAGCTACAATTTTATTTGAAACAAAAAGTGCACATTCAAGGTCAAAGTAACCCGCAGTTACTCGGTATTTAATTAAATAAATCAAGCTAAAACAAAAAAAAACTTATTATATCAAAGCGCTTGGCCTACGATTTCTAGAACACATTTTTAGAACACATATTTTAAATTGATTCGGATTGAGACTAAACAAATCCACATCCTTATGCACACCAACTAACTCATTATAGGCACGACACATCCTGACTATTGGATTATAATAAGAAGTATTGTTAGTGAATACTTAAAGTACAAAAAAATTAGGACTACGAGACTTGTATCTAATATTAAAATTCAGAAGCGAGAGAAGCGATGGACTGTCCGTGTGCGAGTTAGCGATTTTATATAGGCAGTTTAAATCAAAATACTTACGACATTCAAGGGACTGCATATTAAACCTTGTCATCCTGTCATCCATCCAACCTTATTTTAAAATACAGTGCAGTACATTATACACATAATACACAAATATTTAACGAAAAAATAAAGTGACGACCCCTAGCGTCAACGCAACAGTAGGCTAATAAGTCGCCGACAGGCCGCAGTTAAACTACTGTTCTGGGTATACTGTGGTATAAGTCGCGGCACGAAACTCTAGCGCTGACCGTTATTGCGCGGAAGTAAAAATTAAGATGTGCGCGGGTGGGCGTAAGTTGCGCCGATTGGCTCTCCAGTCGTACCCTAGTGCAGCTATCCCCTCAGTTTTGTTCAACGGTAAAGTTACGTGCAGCGACCTGAACGCTCGGCAGCGAGACGGTTTCTACGAGCTCGTTGACGACAATGATTTGTTTGTACGGTGAGCCTAGTGCCCAAACCGTTGCTATAGTTTGACTGCAACGATATAAAAACCCTAGATACACCACCACGAACAAAATCGTGCCCGAAACCTGTCCAAAAGGTACATTGGACCCCTTGATAGTCAAAAACAATATAAGACATTATTTAAATATTTGAAAGTCACCTTTAATGCATAATGGTCTTATCTTAATCAAAAGGCATGTTTCAAAAAGTCTTATATTATGTTGCCAGAATTAAAAAAAAATGCCGCGTTTGATAGTTATTTGCATCACCTGATCTTTCCCTGATCCGTTCTTACGCCAACGCACCTTAATCATAAAAATTAAAATTTATGACAATTCTAAATATAAACAATAAGAAGTCGTGGTTGCAAAAAAAAAACAATCTAAACGTGTTCGATGTATGTCGGTATTAATTTAAACTTATATTTTGTTACCGCAATGACTATTGCTATTTTGTCAAACCAATACTTTGTATTTTATGTTAGTTAGGGTGTGATAAAAAAATCTGCATGTTTAAGTTCAATAAATCAATCGGAACATTAATTCTAATAGGTATCCACGAAGTGAATGATTGTTTCGTAATGAACTTAGAAATACATGCTCATATAGGTATATCGATCTCTCGAGGAGCTCAATGGCGCAAGTGGTTAGCGCGATCGGCTGCGATAGTTGAAGTTAAGCCACTTTCGCAGTGGTCGGTCATCGGAAGGGTGACCAACAATTTTTGATCTCGAGCTCTGCTCCTTCCGTACTCACAAATCCGCACTGGGCCCGCTTGGTAGGTCATGGGCCAATCTTCCTATTCCATCCATAGGTAAGGCATGTGCCTAAGCAATGGGAACATTTATAGGCTAATAGGGATGATGACTAATTTTTTTTTCTTCGTTTATCAAAAAGTGTTGGACACGTATTTTTTCTTTTTCACATAATATAAACATTGCAGAGATATATTGATTTGAAAAGTCGCATGACGTCACGTTTTTGTACACTTAAGTGAAATTTCACTCAAAAGTGACGTCACGAGCCCCTACTCCCAAACTTTGACGCGCTATAACTTTGTCATTTTTTGGTTGATTGCCCAAAGAAAAAATACGTGTCCATTATTTTTTGATCATTTAACTGACGGACTAAATAGAATTTCGTTTACTGTACCCCGTCATCACCCCTAATAGATGTCATTTTTTTATATATAGTTAGTTAAGCAAATGACTATACCCCACCAGATGTCAAGTGGTGATAAAGTCTAGACGCGAAGATAGCTGGTACAGCAGTTATAAACTGCTACACCAACCATCCTCATTCTTGCCGGTCTGCAAAAATGCTTCTTCACGCGTCTCTTAAAGATTCCCAGATTGTAGTTAGGGGGAACACGTATGTGCGCGGGCAAAGAATTCCACTTGCGAATCTCTAATATATAAAATTCTCGTGTCACGGTATGCGTAATTGAACTACTCCGAAACGGCTCGACCGATTTTCGTGAAATTTTATATGCATATTCAGTAGGTCTGAGAATCGGACAACATCTATTTTTCTTCCCCCTAAATGTAAAGGGTGATTCACCCTTTAAATTTTTAGTGGACATTTTTTTTTGTTTTTAATTTTTTTATGATACATCACACACAAATACATGCAACCCTGCATTTTCATCCTTCTTCCACCAACCCCTATTCTTTACCTAGTAGTTAAATAAATTTTAATAGCGTGATCGTTGTTTCAGGTGATGGGTTACACAATCTGCACAGATCGCGGAGTCGCGGCGAGAGCATAAACTCGGTAGGCAAGGCCCGGAGCAAATAGACTCGACGTACAAACACAACCCGCCCGCGCACGGACCGAACTACATATAACTAACACACGTCTACGAGAAAGGGGCGTGATGACTCATGTTTTTGTTGCAGTCGTGTAACGCGTATGGTGCTTCGTATGTAGTAGACGTTGTTACTTTCGAGTACGCTTATTCCCATTAAACCACGTCCACGTCACAGCAATCGTCAATTTATTCAACCAATCTTGGAACTGATGGTGATTTATGTCGACTTATTTAATTATTTACGCTGACGTATTTAACTCCGGAATTTCACTTGGCTATTCGTGTTTGCAACAGTCTGTCCTTGTCATGCTTTATAAGGAATGGAAAGGACGGACTGATTTCAAGTTTACAATCAGCAAATACCAATAGCTAATTGATTTGCTGGCATAAAAATGAACTTTTCAAGGCAGCAATAAAATACTTTAATAGGGTATTTTCCAAATTTTTGAAAACTAAACAAACCAAGCGTTTTGGCAGTAAATTCAAAACAATTTGAAATAAATTCAACTTTAATTGGTCTAATGGAGAAAAAAGACATTAATTAATTTATTTTTATTTTTCTGTTAAATCGTTTGTCACAATCTTTAAATATAAGCAGTTTTCAAAATTTTGGAAAATACTCTATTTGATTTAGATTAGCAGTAGGTCTAATTTTATGCATGTGAAGAAGGGACTTTGGGTATGCGGCTTAACAGGAGTAAGACATTACCGTGTCTGTAAAGCAATACCTTGTGCGTTTGTTTGTTATTGTTTTCTTTGTAAATGTTATTGTGGTGTATGGGGAAACAAGATTGCCTCGCATCCGTTGACTATTTCAACGAAATGACAGACGGTAAATCGGACGTTGTTTCCGTGAGTTCGCAATCGTTATTGGTACAAGTATATTTTTTCCGTTCGACAGTTTTATTCGTTGACGTATTTTATTTTAATTATTATATTTGTAAATAGAATCGTGAAATTAATGTGATTTTAATTTAATAACTAATTTCTATGTAAATAAATATGTTTTGTGTGCATTATTATTATTTAACATGATAATTTTGGAGCCAATGAAATCTTTGTGATCGGTGATGATAGGATTCGATGCATTATTTGTATAGATTTTTTTACTGTATAGTTTGTGGTCTAGATGTTATTGTAAATCGTTTATGAAATATTTTAACTAATTGACTATGCTTTTGTCTATGGCTTCACAGGTTTGTGTTCCCGATGCGGAACAAAAACTCTGTGACATGCGCCGCAGTTTTTTTAGGCACTGCATTTAATCGAACCTTAAATTAAATTTATTTATCGAATGAACCTTAACGACTACGTACTATAATTTCGACCCCAGATTGCTCATATTGTGTTTGTGACACGATTGCCAGTGTATAAATGTGATAGTCTCTTGCCACGCGAATTTTGCCCTAACCAATAATAATTATATATCTATATTTTTATTGTTTCGACTACGTAAACTTTTTTACCCTATGGAATTTTTAATGAAATCGTCCAATATTACATCTTCGTCCTTGATAAAGACTTGTACTTAGTACACTTGCCATTCAGTGGAAATATTAAATCCCATTACATTGATTGACTTTTCTCTCGCGGGTCCAAGTGATAAGCGGATATTGATGTGTGCTGCTGTAGCATTAAGTATTTTGATAGTATAATCGCTATACATAATCGACATTGTAATCAAACTGAAACCAGTGAATTTATTTCCATTTAATAATACCAAGTTTTGTACCTTAGTAAAATATTGTATTCCGATTTCTTTTGCACATTATCGCTTATCGCTTGTGACGGAGAATTATATCCATTAGGTTGTGTAGGTATTTCTGATATGTGTATAAATGTGCGCATTAGTGTTATCGGCACGCTGTAAATTTAAAAATTAAATAAATATATAAAATGTGTTATTAGAAAAAAGAAATTGTCCTCAATTTATTATCTCCATCCAATTTTGAACAATAAAACGTTGAGATGTCTAACTGTATAAAAATTATAACAAACGAATATTGATAGGCGTTTCGTTACACGATTGAGATGTGAGGTAGATATTTTGAACGTTGGCAAGTACTTCAGTGACTTAAATCATCAAGAGTATTCCTAGCGCGAATATAAACGAATGTTAGGAAATGTCCACCGCGGCCGGCGGCGACGTCGGGCGCTTAGTATATAGCTCACCTAATGTATATTCCATCCTTTTAGTAAAGTAATGTCGTAAGTACACTAAACAAGTACACACATATAGTTTAATGCCTCGTTATTTACTAGTGTTTGTAAGAGTTCCACTTTCAGCGTTCATTATATAGAGCCCGCCACTTGCCTCCATTCCTGTGAACATATGTATATTTACATTTACATAATAAGGTAAACGAGTAATATAATTATGGGAAATATCAAAAAATATAAATCGCTATTTCGACGTACGCACTTGAGAATTTAAAACAGATTTCATTAAGGTAGCGGTTCTACTACAAGCTGCATTTGGAATGTGACTCTCGTTATTTTCATTACGTCTAGTGGGTACGTGATACTTGGTCCAAATTGAAATGCCACCCCGCAGAAGTAGTTGGACCGCCATCTAAATTAGTTGAAAAGCGTTGACTGACGTCATAATTGTCACACGTGTATAATACGTATCATATTTAACATTTTGTCGAAAGCTTATTAGACTGTCGTACTTAAAACATTCCATTTTTTCTATACATTATTATTATTATCATCATCATCATCATCAGAAATTTCTGTAGTGTTCGTATCTCAATGGAATACTGATTAGTCCAATTATTAATCTAACAGTTAAAATCTTGGCATTGATTTTGCATTTTGCGATTTTTGCCTTTTGAATGTAAATCTATTATAGTCCAATGAAACTGGCCCTAACTAGGACAGCTCAATGTGTAGTCGACGTAAAAAGTATAAAGAAATATTGATAAATACTTTGAAATATATTAGGATGTATTTGAAACTCTTGGTGTGCTTGTTTCCAGTAGTTGGTAGAGCACGGGCAACTGAATATAAGGAAGTTGACTACAGCAAATGACACTATGTTTTGGCAGGTAAAAGATTGTGTATAGCGCGGATGGCGGAGTAAGCATTAGGGCTCCTAGTTGTTAGGCTAATAGTGACCTCGTAAGCAGCGTGTGTAGGTCATAATTTTAATTTAATAGACACTAAGCTGAAAATGTGCTGTGCTTTTGTTTTAAACAATTAGTTGTTAAGTAAATGAAATTATTTGTTTTATAATTATTTCGTTTAGAGCATTTCGTATTTATTGCATTCGAACGAACATGAAAATGAGCTTTTATGAATTTGTATGTAATTAGTTTTTGTGAAGTCGCGATGCATGGTGATCCGTTATAGTGTAACACGACGAGGTTTATGAGTTGCCAGTCTTAAAACTGTAATATAAAAATAGGACACAAATTAATTCTTATCCTTTTTATGTGATGACCGGACTAGGCAGCTACTTGGTAGGATAGATGATTGCGTCTTTCATATACTATGAACACAGTATAAGCATAATAAAGAGATTTAATATTTAAAAATATGAAAATAGTTCACTTCTAGTGGAAATATTTTTGCCAAGTAGCGTATTTGAGTCAACCGTCGCTGTCATTATCATTAAATGTATTATAAAATTATTTGATTGTTTCCTTTATTTTGTATTTATCCTTAGTCTAGTTAGTTCCCAATCCTTTCTTATACAATAGGTATGATTTAGACTGTACTATAGGTATTTCAAGAAGTAACTTGTTTAGTAATAAAGACGTAGTTTTGATATTAGCTTAGTTATGATGTGAAGTTTAGTTTTGTATGTTCCGAAATATTATCTGAAATATCAGATGCATATTATAATATAGTAGGTATGAATATGGCTTGTGACAGTTGGTAGATATATATCAAAACTAAATTATTGTACCCTGTGAAATATGCCAAATCATAAAATATATTAATAAAGTTTCTAAAGTTGCAAATAATTATACTGGTAGGAACGTTGGGGTGAAACGGAATATTTCTACAAACAATAGCTTTTAAATAAAGATCCTGTTGCCCGATTTACTAGTAAGGTGATAGTCAAGGTCTAATACATAGAATCGATCGGTCTAATACATAGATTGAGCGATCAAGTTTATCTTGCCACAAAAATGATTATGATGATACCAGGTAAAATCTATCACACGTTGCCTAACCTTTCTTGCCTCATCCCCTACCCCACCCAGAATAGTTCGGGCAACACTCCAAGAACCCAGACTACTGTAATGTGACTGCTTGCATGCTTCAGTAAGTTGGAAAAAAGAACATCCTATAGCCTCTATAGGACAATCAGCTGTGCTTTATCTAATACAATGTTTATGAGTACAGATGATAAAATAAGGACTACCTACTACATAATAAAGGATGTTAATACTAGGTGACACGCACCTAACTTCAGATAGAGCGAAACAATAAGTATAACTTGGTCAATATTGAATCATCTTTATCATCTCAGCCGTACGACGCCCACTGCTGAGCATAGGCTTCCCCCAAGGATCTCTACACCGATCGGTCCTGCGCCACTCGCGTCCATCGACTTCCCGCATCCTTAACGAGATCATCGCTCCATCTCGGAGGGGGCCTGTCCCCTGGGCGTCGTCCGGTGCTTGGTCGCGCCATTCGAGAACCTTTCCGTCCCAAAGGCCAGCGGTTCTCGCTACGTGTCCCGCCCGCCACTTCAACTGAGCAATGCTTCGAAACGATGTCGGATACTTTAGTCCTACTCCGGGTTTCCTCATTTATGATTCTATCACGCAGGGAAATACCGAGCATCTCTCTCAGCATTGCTTTCACCTTGAGTCTTCATATGGGATCAATATATTAATTTTGAATGTGTTTCCGCATTACCCTTTTTTAGGTGATCACTGGCAACACACACTGCTTCAAGACTTGTTTTGAGGCACTGAGGTAATTTGGATGCGAAGATTTTGCGCAGCTTTCCGAACGCTGCCCATTATGAATAAGTACAGAGTAGGTAGTGTCTTACTGAAAATTGCGGGGCCTTACCCGCTCCTCAAAGAGCTGTCTCAGCTTGAAGCCAGGCTTTCAATTTAAAAAAATTAAACGAGGGTGAATCAACTTTTTTTTTATATCGAAGTGAAAAATTGTTAGAAGTAAAAAATATCCATATTTCTTATTTTAATTAATTTTGATATGCACCTTATTTATTCATCTTTAATATTCAAAAAGGACATCAAACTTTAATACGTATTTAGCTAGTTATTAGGCTTAGAGTAAACTTGGGTCTCAAAACGGGTCCCCTGGGTGACTTATAGATTGGTAAATAAAAAATAAAAAATACGATAAATAAATTACTGTAATTTTAAGAAGTATACAGTAAAATACAAAATCATTCTTCACATACTAAATAACTATCAAGTTCTTCATGGAATTTCTCAAAACTATGTCTCGGGAGTCACTAATTGAAAACATAAACTTCTATCCTAGGCCACTGCTGGACATAGGCCTCTCCAATTGCACGCCACTCAGATCGATTTTGGGCTACTCGCATCCAGCTCCTGCCAGCCACCTTGCGCAAATCGTCACTCCACCGTGCCTGAGGACGTCCTACACTACGTTTGCCTAGACGCGTTCTCCACTCCAGAACTCGTCTACCCCAACGGTTATCGGTTCTTCGGCAAATATGGCCAGCCCACTGCCACTTCAGCTTACTAATCCGGTGGGCTATGTCGATAACTCTGGTTCTCTGTCGGATTACCTCATTTCTGATGCGATTCTTCAGAGAAACGCCGAGCATAGCCCTTTCCATAGCGCGCTGAGCGACTTTGAACCTGTGGACAAGCCGTACCGTCAGTGTCCACGTCTCGGCTCCGTATGTCATCACAGGTAGGACGCACTGATTGAAGACTTTCGTCTTTAGGCACTGTGGGATCGACGATGTCAAGACTTGACGTAGCTTCCCAAACGCTGCCCAACCCAGCCGAATTCTTCTATTCACCTCGTCCTCAAAGTTGTTTCTACCTAACTGCAATGTCTGCCCGAGGTATACATATTTTTGAACAACTTCAAGAACGGCACCGTGTATTGCAATCGGTTCCGGTAGAACATGTTCATTGAACATGACCTTGGTTTTATCCAAGTTCATCCGTAGGCCGATGCGTATGGAATGTCAGCTAGGTCATTCAGCATTTTTTGTAGGTCCTGGTCCTTTCTTCATAATCTTAAAAAAAAAAGATTTTTCATAAAGAAAACATGGGCGGGCTTCTCCCATTAAATAAAAACTAGCTACATAAAAATTACAACATAGCAACACAATTTGGTTTGTCAGGAGATACATGTACGTTACTCAGGAGACATAGGCTAATAAACAACTATATTCAGGGAAAGTTGCACCGAAATTGCAGCTAAAGTTATTGTAAAAGTCAACTTTAGAAATAAATGAAACAATTTTTTATCGATTTTATCTTACTACTTTACCTATCGTAGGATACACATTAACAATCAAGAAATCTCCGTAGCATATTCCATAATTTTCTTTATTTTCAACATTAAATCCTCAAGTAGACGGCTTTCGTCTCCTGAGTCACTGCAATCGTCTCTGGGGTCACCTGAAAAGTAAGTAAGGGGACCAGTGACCCAGGGGACAATTAACAGTAAAATGTTTATATGTGTGTCATTATCTGTCAAATCAGTTAAATTCATATTGACACTTCGTATTAGACCACAATCCTGTTATATATTCACTTCAAAATGTGTTTAAAGTTCAAAATACTTACGAAAGTACGTCGTCTCCCAGCGGATTAGCAAAAATCACCCCCGTCCTCACTTCTTACCGCGGGCGAAATGACCGAGTTAATTAACACTTAGGCGCTTTGCAGACGGCGGGGCGGAGCAGGACGGTCAATTTCGCCGCGAACGATAGCCAAAAGTGAATCCTATACTACAAACGCACACAGAGGGCAAAAAGACCGCGCCGCAGGTGGCCCGGCGGGCAGTGGCGGCGCGGCATATCCGCGGCTGCCCGCCGTGGATCATACAAACCAGTTTATATGCAGTAACGCAGACGGCGGCCAACTCAGTCCGCGCCACGCGCTTTTTAGTGATGGACTATTCACTAGAACGAACGTCCTGAACTGACTACCTCTGCCCGTCGTGTGCTTTGTGTACGCGGCGAGGGCAGCCGCAGACATCGACGGGCAGACGCGGTTTTTATTGCTTCGCGGACAAAAAGCCCGCCCCGCCCCGTTGTCTGCAAAGCGCCTTAACAGTCACGGGGATCACAATCTGGATCACGTGCGATCTAGAACGCTTCTTGATTGGTCTTACCAGCTGTGGTGCCATTTTACTTCCTAATACGCTCTAAATGTTGAGTAAGTAAAGGGACACTAAAATGACTACCTGACAGGGACGTATATTTAGGTTGTAAAGAAATAAATAAAAAAATATCTTGATTGTTTCTACATAAATTAAGAACAATAAACTTTTTTTGTTTTTGATGCAATATAACACTTGAAGGTCGTCGTATTTTTTTTACATCAGAGTTCGATAAGGTATTGGACCAATAATTTCGATAAGGTATTGGAAAGAGATAGACACCAACAAACGGACCTCACACCTAGCCTCTCGCTAGTCTCACGGGTGTGAACTTAGATTAAAACAAAAAGGGTAGATACGGCACTAGCCTCACAAAAGTGATCCGCACCAATTGTGGTCCACGACCCTAATCGCTTTAGTCATAATTTGACATGTAAACGACGTATATGTGAACGCCAAAAAAGAAATATTGCTAACATTTTGTGTTTATATGATAAAATAATGCCTAAGTGTCTTTTTAAAAAGTGCTCAACTTGCTCAAGAACTAAAAATAAAACCCACGGCATCACTTTTCATTCGTAAGTACTATAAAATATATTTTTTCATAAAATGTTCATGTTTGTTTTGAATCTTATTCGGTAGTGACGTCGAGTACTGGTCGCGTGATTGGTCGGTAATGCAGTGACGCGGATCTCGCCGTCTCGTTCGCGCTGCCGTTGAAACCTAACGTGCTGTTTCGTTCGGGTCGGTAATGCAGTGACGCGGATCTCGCAGTACCGTTCGCGCTGCCGTGGGATCAGTTTTTGTTTGATGCAAGTATGAGCGTACCGTATTAGACCAGGGTCGATAATTTTAAAAATGGTGAAAAGTGAAAAAAAAATATAGTAGGATGAAACCCATTAGAAAAGGTAGAGAATATAACAAAAATGAAAGGAAAAATAAATTACGGGCGATCTGAGGTCGGGAAGGGGGAGGGGGTGAGTTTTTAAGGGTAAAAAATGGTTAATCTCGATTTCCGGTAAAACTGCAAGTCCTATAAAAAAAGTTAAATGGCAAAGTTGTAGGTAATAAAAAGATCTACAACTTTTGTATAGACACTTTTTTCACCTAACCTCAAAATTTATGTGAAAATGCGAATAACCGAGTTTTTGGTTTTTGATTTTTATTTTTTGCAAAAAAAATATTTTTTCACGAAATTTGGTGAAAACTTACCTTTGTATGTCCCAAACATACAGTAATTTTTTTGATTTAAAATATTCTTTTTTTCACCTTATTTTGACTTAATATCCAAAAAGCACCCTAATTTTCAATCGAAAATTCTCACGTCAAAATA